TCTTTTTATTTATTTATAATTAATAGTACTATTATTTTTATTTCATTTCCCTCTTTCATCCTAATCGAGAGAGACAGTAAAAAGTTGAAGTTGAAGCATTATGAGCATTGACCATACTCATATCTCTATTATAATTTTACTATTTAGTATTAATTGAAATTTTATATACGTAGTATACAGTAATTAATTTAATTTCGATAAATATATAATATTGAAAAAAATAGGCTCCTTATAGAGGGATATAAAACTTTATCATAAATCCAAGATCAGCCAAGGAGAAAAAGGTTGCGCAGCCCACAATAATTAAAATTATATGGTTCACCAATCAAATGAGGCTGAGTGGGCCCCACCATCCTCCAAAACAAAGGTTTAGGAATTGGTTGGTCTATGGCATATTATGATCTTGTCTCATTAATTATTTCTTATAATATTGATTTTGTTTATTATGATATTGCATGATTTGGTTTGTCTGTTCCATCTTTTGATTAAAAAACAAGTAAAATAAAAGTAAGCAATAACATAATGATGTTGTTGGAATCGCTCGGTGATTAGAAATTGAATGAAAGTGAAGTTTATAGTAAAGTTGACAAGAAAATTACGTGAGAAACAAGTTAAGATTACGTCTCAAAATTAGTAAATATGATAAAGTTGGCAAAGTGTTGATATATGTACACATCTAAAACACAAATTGTTAAGTATAATTTCGATGTAATGATATATTGGTCCCTAATTCTATTTATGCTGGCCTTTTTAGACTAGGCAATTAATAAGGAAAACACGTGGAAATAGCATAATCCAGCCTGTCTTTTGACCAAAATAAAAAATAAAAATTAAAAAATTAAAAAAATGTGGCTTCTAGAGTAGTAGAAGTTCACCAAACCCTAATTCCATTGTATCATGTGTGGGTCTCACCATGTCCATCACTATAGACCAAGAGTAGAAGTTCATCCCCAAATTTGCCTGCGATGTTGATATATATATATATATATATAATTAATGACTATGATAAAATTAAGGAAGAATTATACTTACATAGAGTTAGAAGCCTTAAATAACAAAATGGTCTATTTTATAAATTCAATTTTCACTTTGGTTGAATTAAGTAAAATGATTATATATGCATCAATAACTATTATTTAGGTCTAAAATGTCCTCCAAACACTTATTTCAAAATATTAAAAATTATTCCCCATAAATCAAGTACTTTCTAAAAATAATTTCTTTACTTGAAATTTTTTTAAAAACTAGATCTTTCCTTTAATATTAAACCATATTGCTACAATTTTCATACACACACACACACGAGAACTTGTACAAATAATAAAAAAGATTCAATATAGTAAAAAAATGGGGCAATCAAAGAGTAGTCCCCAAAAAGAAAAATATAATTAAATTCAAAAATATATAAATCGTCTTTAATTTGGTGCATGCCTTGATATCATCATCAATATTTTGGCTCAATTAATTACTCTTGTTTTATAAATAAATAAATAAATAAAAATGATTGTTGGTATACCATTTACTGAATCAACCATTTTATTTTTTTATGATCTCCCTCCCCCGTGCGTGTGTATTGTATGTGTATGTGTGTGTGTGTGTGTGTGTATATATATTCATGTGAAAGGTTTCACATTTGCAGGTTTATATTGGTATGAATTAGGAGATATGGTTAAAGTTATGTGCACATAAAATTTTATATATATATATATATATATATATATATATATATGATGAATTTCTATTTACCAAAAAAAATAATCTATATATAATGAATTTTTACTATATTATTTGTATATTCCTAAATTGACATTTGCAGGTTTGAACCGATATAGATTAAGAAATAATGTTAAAGTTTTTTGCACAAAATTTATATTATATATATATATATATATATATATATATATATATATATGTTGTTTTTTATTTTATTTATTTTGGCAATATATTCACCATATGCAAAAATGCCAAGTTGAAAGTCAACTCAAAAATCTTATTTTTCTAAATTTCATGAATGAAAGAATTATTTGATTTAGGAAGAATATTTTAATATTTTGAAATAAGCGATTGGAGAGTATGTTAGACTTAAATAATAATTTTTAAAGCATATGTAATTATTTTACCTAACTCGACCAAATTGAAATATTAACTTTAAAAATAGATCGGTTTATTATTTAAGACTCTTAAATCTACTTTAAGTGTGATTTTTTCTAAAATTAACAGGTATGTGGTTTAGTCGTATCAAATTCTTACTTTTTAAAGAGAGGTTAGGGATTCTTGATGGAGGTATGTGTGTGAAAATTAAAATAAAAAAAAAAAAAAATTGACAATGATAAAAAAATATTTTAATATTACTACATATGAAGGTCATATCTCATTGCAAAACAATAAAGTAATTAAAGGATAAAAAGAAACAAAAAAGAGACAAAAAGTGGAATATATATAATCATAAATGATTAAGCATTTTCTTGTCGTTATGGAGGAGTGGAATATAGGTTTTACCAGAAGTACTTTGGGCTTTACTCACCTCTCTCCAATAGAAAATCAATTTAAAAATTCACTACCATAATCTACAAAAATAGTTAAGGAAAAAAGTCGGAAAAAATTCATGTCAATGTCCTTTCATTTGAGTATAAAAAATTGCCATAATTGATAATACTGCACCAAAAAGTGAGGAATGTTTTATTAAAAAAAGAAAAAGAAAAGAAGATGCCAAACAAGTCTTTTTTTCAACACAACAAAGTAATAGAACTAAAATATCATGTAGGAAAATTGAAGAAAGATGATAACACATAAACACAAGCACAGCACATGTATTAAGGCCTGTTTAGTTCAAATTTCTAAAAATTAAAAAAAAAAAAAAAAAAAAAATCTCAAGAATTAAGAAAACAGAAAAATTTATATAGTTATATCAAAACACATTTTTATAATTGAATTTTAAGAAAATTAAATCAAATAGAATTTTTGTACATTTTTCTAATTCTCAATTATCTGAAAGCATAAAAGTGTTATAAAAAAATTGACCAAAACAATTTTCTTAAAATTTCAGGATTTATTGTTTTCTAAATTTGTTTTCCATTAGAAAAGTGGAAAACAAATCTTTATACTAACTATAATAAAGATAGTAAATTAATTTTTTTTTCCTTTCAATTTTGTCCTCAAGATTAATTATGTGATAAGTCATTATCTGTTCAAGCTAGAACCTCACCAAACGAAATTGCAAAACTGAAATTAAAAACCGACCATTAATTTAAGACGAGAGTCGTCACCATATAAAATTGGAAAATTGATATTGAAAAACGACCATGGATTTAAGACCCGATAGTAACAATGTAAAGGGCCCACCACAGAGTCAGTGACCAGTGACCAGTGACCGTCCATCTAAAACCATGCGCCAATTAACTCGTGGGTTGGTGGTGTTGGGTGGGACCCAAAAGAGCACTTGGACCTTCATTTTCCTTGCCATTGAGGAATCATTTATGATTTGGCTCTTTATCAAGCCTATTGATTGATGCATATGGCCCATGCCCACTTATTACCAAAGCCTCCTCGATCATTAAAATCAATAGTTGGTGATAACATGCCCAATTAACTAAGAAAATGATATTCTATGACCAAAAATAACTAAACCAAATGGAAAGAAAAATACCAATATTTATTGATGTAATAACACCATATGACCATGACCAATAAATATTAACCATGTATTATTACATAAATTTACGGGTGAGAACTCAAGCTCCGGTGTCTCATGAATCATCAAGTCTTAAGTTTGAGTTTTTCCAGGAGGTGGATTAGAACTTTTCCATAGTTGCAAAATTGCCTCAGTAAATCAGCTTTCTTCATGTACTAGAATTAAATTAGTACGTACTGGAATTAAATTAGTACGACATGATTAGCCTAATATGTCAATTTGGGATTCAATCTGCAAATTCTGGGGAATCTCATAAGTTTGGTCCAGCCCTGGGTTCAATGGAATATAGAATAGGTGGCCCTTGACCATCTAGCAAATGATTGGTTGGACCAGACAGTCTAACCCATATCAATCTTAATGGACTTTATTCAGGTTGAACAACCAATTGCTCTTTGGACCTGTGGGCCATCTATACACCAATTCCAATTGGAACTGAATGACTCGCACACATTGAACAGGTCCACTCTTCCTTGTTCTAAAGGTCTGCATGGGCCTTCAAAAAAACCTCTCAAAACAACATATATAACAAACCTTAAAGAGAAAAAATATTCCATTGCTAGAATACCTTTACTAGTGTGTGGACTTTGTGGGCGGATGCAAGAGGTACTGACAGACTATTACAGGTGCACAATCTCACATTGTCTGGGTATGGAAAATGAGATATGCTTATATGTACTAGTACTATATCCAATTAGTATGAGATAAACCTAAGAACAACATTATGTGTATTCGGACCAAAGCGGACAATATCATAAAATGTGGTGGAGTAAGTCGTTACAACTAGTTTCTACCATTATGCATTCTTAGAATATACTATAAAGAACATTTACATCAAGCATCAGCACCAATTTACTTCTTCATACTACAATAGAAAATGACTTTTACGAGGAGCCAAACACCCCGTGAATACCCCCCAAAATGTAAAGGTCACGTAAATACTCACAACTTTTTACGAGACAGAATGAACCTCGTAGAAGTCTAAAATATATGCCATAGAAGATAGTTTTATCTATGTAATAAACTTATTTACAGTATACATGTGATGGTTTGCATTTTTTTATCATTTACCGGACATGTTGGCATTTATGCATTTTTATTTTATTGTCAAATTATGATTTAAGTTGTAAGTGTGTTAATTTAATTTAATGTCATTATTTATTTCACGAAGGGCATGGTGGACATTTTCATGCAAATGGGTGTTTGTGGAGGGGTGTTTTAGTCTTTTCACATGGTCTTACTTTTGACCGCTTTAGAGCATGCCACCTATCTAGGTGATGAGGCAATATCTTATACATGTTATCACATTGTAATTCATCTAAAGGAGAGGGATAGGAATTCGGCAGAATGCATTTTTGTTCTTTTCTTTCTATATAGTTATCATCTTGTCTTGCATATTTGGGATGCTTATGTTGAGAATTTGGGAAGGGTTTGTGAATGAAAAGTATTGTTGAAGTCATGAACTTTATTTTGGTATCAAACTTGTGATCATTTCTTCACTGCTGGGATTTTAAAATCTAGTTTAAAAGAGAGGAAGCTTTGGTTGTGTTTCAAAAGAAAGTGTTCTTCATTTTTACAAATTGGGTGGCTTTGATTCATCCTTGGATTGCTTTGAATTGTGGTTTAGCAAGGTTTTCAAGCGTCTTTGAGGTATGATTGTTTAACTCTCACATCCCTTACCTTTAAGGAATCAATTATATATGTTTTATGTTGAAAAACAGTGCTGAAATACGAATTTGTACTCCCAGAGCTCGAGCTTTGTTCTGCAGAATTTTCTGCACTGCAACCTGAACTTCAAAGGATCATAACTTTCTCATTTTAAACCCAAATTGGGTGATTTTTTAGTCTAAATTGACCGGCTCGAAGTAAGCTTTCCAATGATACCAATTTCAGCCATAGATTCTAATTGTGGAGAGAGTTATTACCTCTGTAGTGCAAACTACTGCTTGTTTTTTAGAAATCTAGAATTTCGCTTTCAGAGCTCGAGCCTTTATGCTTAGAGCTCGAGCATTCATTGCTGTAAACTGAAATTTAAACTGTAATTGGTATTTTGAAATGGGAAGGTGTATACTTGTGTAGGGAATTGTTATAGAACACTGTTGATGAGATTATATTATAAATGTGAGTAGAAGAGCATGTTTAATGTGTTATATTCATTAACAATCACTACAACAAATAAGGGTTTTAGCGGCGGTTATACCGCCGCTGTAAGGTACCAAAACCGTCGGTAATTCCTATACCGGCGCTTTTACCAAACCGCCAGTACAGGAACCACCGCTAGCTTTCACCGGCGTTTTGTCAGCAACCGTCGGGTTTGAAATCAGTACCGACGGTTGTATAAAACCGCCGGTGTAAGTTTAAGTAGCGGCGTTTTTGTCTGCCAGTGTATTTTAAATAAACTGTCATTATAACTGTATACTCCGACACTTTAAAGCGCCGGTATTATTGAATTTTTTCTTTTTAGGGGCGTTTTAAACCGCCGGTGTTGACATTATACTCCGGCACTTTGAAGCTCCGGTAATGTATAATTTTTTTTCTACTCCGGCACTTTAAAGCGTCGGTAATGTATAATTTTTTTAACTTTTGGGAGCGTTTTAAACTATCAGTGTATTATAGTGCACTGTAATTTTTTTTCTTTTGGGGGCGTTTTAAACCACCGGTAATGTGTTAATTTTTTTTTAAAAAAAATATTATTTTCTGGTTTAATTTACATAATAGCAAATATTTTATTTTGTTCCCTGGTCAATGAAATCAAATATAATTTACCAATCACAACACATCCAACAACTTAAATTTGATATGTAACATAGAACAAAGTTGCATTAAAATTCAATAACATTCCATAACATATAAGTTTTGTTTCAAAATGTCAAGTGCTAATAAAAGGTTCAAAAGGAAACACCAAAATCTAATAAAACATCAAAAGGAAATCATTCAAAATAAAACATCAACATTTCATTGAGAATTTGAGTGAGACTATGCGAGGGTCTTGAGAATTAATGGTTCAATTTCATCTCTCATCTTGCTTCAAATTGCCCTACATACATTTTAAATAAAAGCCATTAAACAAAGAATAATAATTAAGACAATTAAATGTATAGTTAAAATAAAATGATAATTAAAATCTATAGTACTCACCAATGATGAAATTCCATCACAAAAAATAAAATTTAAGGATCACCAAATGTAGTTGAGGAACCGGATACCTTCATAATAAAATATAACTTTATTATGCACCTTCATAATAGAATGTAATTATAAATATATTAGGTCTTATAATATTTATATAGTTAAATGTTTATAAGGGTGCAATAACAAAATTATTTACCTGTACATTAGAATTTTGATGTTCAATATGACGCAAAATCATAGCCATTTTACACTTAATCAAACTAGGAAATAAAGAATTGATGGTCTAAAAAAATATTTACAATCATTTTGGCAACATGTTCATCACTAGCTTTGTCATCCTTCTTGCTCTTATGTGTTGCGCAAAATAGTTGAGCACGAGTTGGTGCCTTCCTTGATTCCAACTTCATCTGTTTTTTTTTAATATATCTATCTTATTATAATTATACCTCAATGATGTATAATAAATTGTGTGACATACAAATGATTAACTTCATAAAAAATCCAACTTAACCTTTTCAGCCTTCCGCACATAACTCATTGTCCCAGCATTGTTTGCTTAGAGCGATTTACTTCATTTTGTTTGTTTTTTTCCTAAAACAAAGGAATAAGAAGGTATATATTAGCTCTTAAATTACACACACACACACACTATATATACATAATTACTTTCAGAAGTTGTAAGAGAATAATTACTTCTAAAAATCATTTTCAGAAGTTGTAAGAGAATAATTACTTTGACATAAATCACAGACGAATCGTACACTTGCACTTTCTCAGAAGTAGAGAGGGATCATAATGGAAGAAATTACAAACCGATAACTACTTTCTATATATTATTTTCTCATCTGTTTCTCTTCAAAGGAATGCTTAAAACTAGAAGAAGCAAGAGCCAACTCAAGAGACCTATACTGTATTCTGGTAAATGGCAGTTGAGGGTAAGTTTGGAAGCAAAGTCACAGATGAACTTTTACATATGAGCTATTTCTCTAGTGCTTAGAGCCTCTTATCTCGATGATATATCACAAATGATTTTCCTGGGGAAAAAACAAAAAAAAAAAAAGAAGAGAATTTTAAAAGATGAGCTGACCCTGTTGCCTTCTCAAATTGTTAAAAAATCATTTTCAGAAGTTGAAAGATAATTGCTTTTATATATATATATATAAGTAAGATTGTATTAGAAAGCATTCAAATGTGGAACGCATCGCGCAAAAGCTACACTAATATTGAAAGAGGATTACTTTGGTAGAAAGCACAGACCATATGGTCCATATCATTACACTTTCGCTTTCTCAGAAGTTGAAAGGGATTATTTTGGCAGAAATTACAGACCATATGATCGATATGCTCGTATGAGGTGTCCCCATCATTATGCCTAGAAGACGAAGGTAATCGTTCTCCATGGTAAATCCAAATTGTATGTATTGATAAACCCATTCCACATCAAGTCATCCAAAACTTCTTGCCTTGTTTTCTTGATACAATTCCCACACTTGTTACAAGGACAATATATGCGTCCACTCTGTCCAACTCGCTCAAATGCAGTATCTAGAAATTGTTCAACTCCATTCGAGTATGTAGTACTTATCCTATTTGTATAGTAAGAAAGATAAAGTCAAAATGAATTTATCGTAAATATCTAAACTAAGATGAGAATTAAGCTTTATAATATACATATATATAGCTTTATAATAAATAAATAAATATATACATGTATATATTAAATTAACGAGACTAAAATTTAATGTAATCCAACTTCTATCCATTATAATAGATTATGTAAGAACATATGAATCTCAAAACTATGTCAGTCAACTTCTTTGAATTACTGCATTTCATAGTTCTTTAATCAATAAACTACTTCTATCTACCTAATTAGCATCACCTATAAAGTGTGGCAGTAAGTATATCAAACTTACTGTTCAGTCAAATAACTTAAAATACAGTGCTTGTTATATATATATGAATGCAAAATAGAAATTATAAGAGGAGAAGAAATATAAACATAACCTAGATGAAAATCAGACATCCAAATGAATGGAAAAAAAAAAAAAAAAAATTATATCAGTAAATCATCTAAAAAAATACAATTTATTGCTTTCCACTCTAGGTTTTCTGCACCAACTCATTGTAAAGCAAGATAAGCCTTAAAAGCCTGTGTTTTATTTATTTATATTTCCACAGCAATTGAAGGCACATAAAATAATTGGTGAAGAGAATCGATCATGTGTGAGAACAGATAATATTTTAGGCTAGCTAGCATGATCCATGTGAGATGTGCTGAAAACCTAAAACCTAACTAGAAAATCTAATTGATTTGGGGATCGATTTCTTAAATTCAAAAATTTGTATTAATAGATAAAAGTTTATATATGCAGTAGTAAAATGTTGATTCTATTGATCAACTAGCCCAGTGTTATTGAATGTCATACTTGTTGAAATATAAATGTAGCAAATTAAACAATGACTATAATAATAATGTTCACATTTAAAATGATTTGATTTTGTAGTACTCTCTATATATTACAATCTGAAGGAAGGTGAACATATCTTTAGTGGCTGAGTGGGTGGACATCATCCATAACAACTCCATGAACCGCTTAAATTTTGACTATGTCCAAAAATCTCAATAAATTCTAAAAATGGATTAAATAATTTAGATATTGGATGATCTAGATTAAGGTCTACTTAAACTGATTCTATTGTTTTGGGAGGGTTTAGGTGCAGAGTATCTCTATCCAATTAAAGAAATTAAAAATATTAGCCTATATATAATCAGTGAATACGTGGCAGTGAGTCTACTGGCAATGTGACACTCTGACTTCAAAGTTCATGGTTTAATTTTTAATTTTTTATTATTATTATTTTTGTCTACTATGATAGTATAACACCCCATAATTCACTACCAAATATGTACATGTGCAAATGTGCAATCTCCTTATCCCAAACACCAAACAATTATCAGAAACATTATTTGACTGGCCCCAAAAATCTCAAACACCCATCCTCCAAAATATTAAATGAGAGTCGTTATCTTTACGGTATTCCGTTAACATTAAACTTCATAGTTTATTAACTCTCTCTACACACAAATGTAGATATTTATACGATTCAAACTTCAAACTGCAAAAATATCATCTAAACCTATGGTACAACATGATTTTATTCCAAACTCCTGTCTTCACATATACTGCTCTACCCACTTACCATCTCTGAAACTTCCAAAAGTAGACTCATGTATATAAGGATTTGTATATAGACAAATACTAGAGAAGCCTCCTTTGGTACACCGTGTCTTGTTTTTATTCCCTAATCAAAATTTGTACTAGAGAAACAATTTCATGTTGGAAAATGATACGAGTTACCATAGGTTTTTAAATCCGACTGAATTTGTTAATCATAGATTTAAACATTTCAAATTGAGAGATTCTATCTTATTAATTATTGTGTAACAGTCTGTATTGAACCCCAGTGATATCTAACTATTTTCTAATTGTTCCTCTTTAAATGCATCATTAGCAACTATTTCCACAAAATCTATGTATGAAAGGCCCATGAACTCCAGACTTCTCGGAACCGAGACTTAAGAATGGTAGCCCAGTTGTTCAGGACCTTTTGTCCAAACCTCCATCAATGAGGAAGAATATTCTGACCCATCTAGACACTGGTTGAAAGAGGTCAAATTAGTTCCATTGAAATAAAGTCAATTTCGTCCAGCATAAAAGAATTTTTCTCCACCGATAGAAAGATGCTATCTGGGTGAAGATCCCTAATCATATTTTAAAAAGGAAAACAAATAATGTGTGATACATCTCAATGATTAACTTGATTTCTGCAACTGCATGAAGCATCAAAATAGCCTTTTTATAGCAACAACTAGAAATATGAGACTTCTCAAAAGCCAATTTGGTCATCCGGTGCAGTAATTCTAATAATGTCATCGATGCAAGAGACAATTGAAAAACACACACATCAGGGTGTCTGAATAATTCATTTACAAAAAGTGCTGTTGAATGCCATAATCATCTAAAAAAATACAAGTATCAAATGAAATTAGAACCCTATTAGCACCACGCCAACAGGAATTGTAAAAAGAGAACTCACCTCAGATCTTTGCATCCCGCACTGACCACCACTATCGAGATCTTCGTCCACCACAACTCAGATCTTTGCAACCCGCCTTGACCACCACTACCTAGATCTTCGTCGCGCACCACCAACCGCACCACCGCTGATTATCGTGACAACGTGAGGGAACAAGCAGCTTGAAGATGGGACTCTAGGCTTCTGTTATCTTCTCCTAATACTAGGGTTAACCTCGCCCTTTGAAAATGTAATAAATAACAAAAAAGATTAAAATATCCTAAGCCCAAAACTACCTCGCTTATTTTCTTTAATTATTGGCAGGGCACACAAATCTCATTTTATATTTATCGGCAATGCAAAAAAAACGCCGGCAAATACAATATAAACGATACCAATTTTTGATCGCCGAAACAAACATGATATTTTTCGGCATTTAAATATAAAACGCCAGAATAACCACATATTTTCTGGCGTTTTAATACAAACCGCTGGAAAAATACTACACAACGGCATTTTTAACTAAACTGCCGGTATTTGTAAAATATTACCTGCGGACATAAAAAAACCGCCTGTAAAACCAATATTTCTTGTAGTGAATGCTACCTAAAACATAAGGTGATTATGCGATACTCATCTTATAAATGAACATGCTGGCAAGTTGATAGAATTGCAATAACCATATTTATTGTATATGGAACTGAGATTGAACTGTTAATTAGAAATGTCGTACATTATACCAATATAAATGTGCATTCATCTCGCATGGTTTTGGGGATGAGTTTAGAATTGAAATAATATGTCAATGATTATAAGATTGCTTCAAAGAGAAAGGATTATTGAAAGCTGAATGGCAAGGGGTATAGCCTGTGTTCGTGCTGTTAATGAAATCTAGAGGGAACATATGGTAACACCCTATGTGTGATTGAGCCACTAGGCCCCAAATAACAACAAAGGGTATAGCCTTGTGTCATAGATAGATGACCAATTATCTTCTCGTGGTACTGGGGAGTATAGCCCCGGGCCGGATTACATTAACTTGGTAGTGATTAGATGAGGTTTCGGGAAGTGGGAAGTGTCTTGGGCATTAGCATTGGCATTGCACTGCACTTCACTTTATTATCTCACATAATATTATATTCCCGAGCCTGTATGGCCCCTTATCTTATATCTGTTCTTTACTTGGATTCACAGAGATATCAAGGAGTATGCTTTAGGCAACTCCCGTTGAGCTGTGATTGCTCATTTCTGTTTTGTACACATCTTTTCAGGTCATGGCATAGATGGTGTGGAGGGTGTTCCTCCTTAGCTGTAGACAGAGTCAGGGCTGGTGTTGTGGTGTTTTTATTTTGTATAGTAAACAATGTATGATAGTGAGACAATGTTATAATATTAGTTCAGCTTCATCCTTGGCATGTGATAAATATTATTGCTAACTTTATAAACTTGAAAGTTGTAGTATGTGTATCTTTCCTGTTTATTTTCAGTTCTGGTTGTATAATGGAAATAAATAGGTGAAGAATGTGGTTGGGAAACAGGTTACAGGGATGTTATTTTTGTGATTGTCTAGTATAATGAGTTCACAATCCGAACTATGGCCTTGGGGCATAACAATACATATTCCCTCGTTAATATTAATTTACAATGTACTTTGCGACTCGTTAATATATCTAAGTATTCACTATACACTAGAAAATAATTCTACTTTTTAATGAGGATCTTCGCTTTTCGTAAATAATATAAACTTCTTATGAACTAGAAGTTGTGTGCCGTGGATAATTGAATATGGGCTTTTATTTACAAGGTTTCAAGCTCCCCGTAGATAACATATCTTATTTTTTATTATTATTATTTTTTTTATACTGAAATCAACCATAAATGCTACCAAATAATCCACAAAACCTGTAATCGACAACAATTTCAATTAAACATGCTATATAATGGTAACAATTCTTAGTTAATAACAATAACCAAAACAATCCATTGAAATGCACCATCAAATAAACATATCAAAAGACTAAAAGCATTTTCACAATTCTAAAATTCATCATTGTTCAATGTGCAAAATAGAAATTGAAACCAATTTGTCAAAAACACCATGAATTCTATCAATTTCCTAGCACTTGAGATTCAGTAAGTCCTTGTCAAAAACACCATTTCCTACCACTTGAGATTCAGTGAATGCTTGTCAAAAACACCATTTCCTAGCACTTCTCAAAAACACCATTCAGTAAGCCCTAGTCAAAAACAACATTTTGCATGCACTTGAGATTCAATCAGCACTAATCAAAAACACACCTCATTGTCCATGATTCAAAAACTAAGCAAGTACCTACATCACACAATGCTGGATTTCAGGATGCTAATAATCTTTAAAACTTGAAGTGAAAACGAAAGGAAAAAAACTTGTGCATAATTAAAATAAAAAAAATTACTTTTCATTTTCAACTTCAAATTCGAAATATAAGAGAGAATAAATAATTTTCTTTTCCATCCACAAATTCAAAAAGTAGAGAAAGTGATGGACCTACCCGAGTGCAGTAGTAGGTCTCACACCACTTTCCCTACACTTTCCAATAAAACATTCAAACATTTACTTCATGTGCCCTTTAAGCCACGTTCTACCCAGCTTGTACAAAGTTTACTATTCTCGGTGCCCACATTAACTTTCACATGTTTGATACCTGTACATTTACCAATTCACCAAGCAGTTGTCCTATGTTTTCATACAAAATGAGTGTCCAGGTTTCAAAGTTCAACTACCCTAGAGAGAGTAGTTAAATGTTCTTCTTCTTTTTAACTACTAATAGGTGTGAAAATCAAATATCAGGTCAAGGTATATGAACATGCTCATATAGTATCACCACCAATTTAGAGTCAAACAATTTTCCAGTTAGAAGCAAAGCTACTAGTTCAAACATAAAACCATTTGTATCACCTCGGATCCTTTCCTGCTTTAGGGATCCTGTGCAAGGGTACGTAGAATACAGTTTCATCACGCAACATAGTTATATCACACAATATAATACTCATGCAATAATTTTAAGAAAATTATGCAACACAATTATATCATAGATACTGCCCTCATAAAACAGTTGCAACATTATAACACAATTAAATAGAGGATTTAACATATTTACATAGTTGTTATATTGTCAATTTGAAGCTGTAGCATTCACTATTTAAAGTAATTACGTTCACAATGTAAAATTATTGTATTAAGCATAGTACAAATATGGAACAAAAATGACATAGGAAAGAATCTTGGTTCAATATTTACTGTCACCATGCTTAAGTTTTTTTTTTTTAGACTGACAATTATGGGATTATGGGTGACCAAGGATTGGATTGGTTTGGTTTAGACATTAAACCTAAACCATTAACAATCTGATTTCTAAGGATTGATGAAAGCTAAATCTGATCTGACATGGGGAAAACTTTAATTTTATCCGATCCGTAAAATATTGAATTGGATTGAATTGGTTTTACATATTGGGCTTTTCTAAATAGCCCAATAAATTTTTTTCTCCCTATGGATGAATTCTCAATTTATCAAACAAAATATTGTTCCATGTTTTTTACTGTACTCCTTAATAAAAAACATATTTGGGCGATCACAAACTAGAATTAATTAAAGAATAATTTGATCACCACAATGCTTTCCTTCAATATCTCAAGAACCCTTCTCTTTCTTTGCATCCCATTCTTGCTTGTCCTCTTAATTGAAAAAGTTAGCTCTGGTATTCTTAATTTCTGCTCAAATACAAACACTAATACTACTCTTAACAAGATCAATGGGGAATAATTTCGATACCTTCTTCAACTACTACCTATTTTTTCACAATCAAAATCTACAAATAGCTACGTATATTTCTATTTAGTGCAGTAAACTCTAGAGAGTAGATGATTATCTGATCTTAGTGGGTGAAAAGAGCAATTAATAATTACACATGCATAGCAAAGATATCAAATCACAGATATTGTCCATATCCAAATTGCACATGCATAACAAAGTTCTAATTCAATCGAAGACCCATAAAGATTACACAATATTGGATGGCATATATATATTATATCATATATAAATGTCACCTCACCTGTATTTAGTCTAGGGCAAAGCTGTCAGGTTGTATAGACTAGAATCATAGAGATTCTAATAATTCTTCTCCTAACGAACTGGAGATATCGGATCCTGCCACAAAAAAATATATATATATTTAAAAAAATGTATTGCCAACCAATATAAAAAACCCAAGAACAACATCGTGCAGATTCAGACCCAAAGCGGACAATATCATATCATGTGGTGGAGTAAGTCGTTACAACTAGTTTCTACCATTATGCATTCTTAGAATATACTATAAAGAACATTTACATCAAGCATCAGCACCAATTTACTTCTTTAAATACTAACAAGAACAATAATGAGGAAAGAACGGAGTCATTTTCTTCTTCTTTTTGAATGGAAAAAGAAACAGAAACTTGAAAGCTCCTGCTGACACGATATCATCCTGACCTTACCTCAAGTGGTTCTCAATAGTCCGTTGCTCTATTTCGTTTTCTGTTAATCTTGTAGCATGAGAGGAAAGCTACAAATCCTTACAGCTTCTCCAACCTCGACCATTTAGGTCTCCCAATACCTACACAATCAACAGTAGGATACATAAAATATTGTAGAATAAACTTGAGCAACAATCCGAGAACCTAACCTGAGCAATTGTGGTGTACGAAGGCACAGCCAGCAGTTTGAAAGTTCCTGTCCAAAACCCACTTCAAAGGACAGGAGAGCACCTGTCATTCACTAAAAGGAATGGAATTCAGAAACAGTAATAATTTCAACTGTTCCATCCACATTTCAACTCCTTAAAAAGACATTTCATGCAAAGAAAAAACACACTGTACATGTACATGGGCACAGACTGGCAAGGCGGGGGAATATAGTTCATCAAAGATTAGTTCAGAGTTTATGGGGCTTTTCGGAGGTTGAAATTTTGATTTGGCAAACTTTGAATACTGCGCATTAGGGCTCTTATCATACATAAAAGAGAAAAGAAAATAAACAGGGGCCATGACATACATTTTATCTAGTGTAGTCCCCATTAATCGATTGTAGGGATATTTGGCAATATTTGCACAAAGTTATTGTCCTCAAACTCGAACCCGGATTCTAATACTAAACAATCCGAACTTTTATTATTACACCAAGCAAGATCACTTTTCTGGTAAACTTTGTGGCCTGGCTCCCCCTTGAATTGGTTAAATAGAGAATGGAACTATTATTGGGGAGGTAACATCATTTGATCGCAACATGTTCCTGCGTTGATACCATGCTAGAAAACAGTAACTTTAAAAGCTTAAGCAGTTATATAGTAGCAGATGCTAGTTATATATCATCAACAGCCTCCACATTAGTTACCCAAGTAACCTAAAAACTCTTAGCCATAAAAAAGACACAACAATCACTTTGAAGTACCAGGCATACCTCACTGAAAGCTTTGCAATACTTCAGGGCCAATCCACGCAGTGCAATTTTCTCCACAATTGGATTGTCATTAGGCTTGCTAAACACAGCCTCCATAAGAGGATATATCAGAATCTGATGTACCCTCAGTCTTAATTAAAGATCCAAAATCACTCACAAACAATGTAGCTCATAGAAGGAAGAACAAGCAGCAGCTCAGGTTTCGTAAGGGCAATAGATGGTTCCTGCCATAAAAAGGGAAAAATATTCAGTGGAAGGCTCGTATATAAAATTCTTAAAGCATATAATATAGATCAATCAAAATTTCCTCACTAGAGCACGGATATATTTGCTAATATCCTACGTGAAAATATCAAGCATTTCTGCCGCCAAACATAATGTAGATGTACATACAATTGGATTGAAACGCACAGCCTTGCCAAAGCACCAAGGAATTTTGCGAAGGTACTAAAAGGGGAAGGAAAAAAAAAAAATGTAATCAGGCCACGTACATGCAATGAAAATCATCCAGGGACTAAATTGTTGATGGAAATCGTAATCCATCATGAAACCTTGACTTGCATTTTATGTAGAAATAAATGTAAATAACATAACACACCTTTTTCTTGATGACTTGATTAATAATATAATGAAACTTCATCCCCTGCCCAACTGAAAGTTTTGAGTACGTCCACTATCTCTTCAATTCTTGAATGAGAAAAATCACCAACTGTGAACTTTTCCACTATTCCTTTCACTTCAGTCAGACTATAGCCTGGCTCTTTCTTTAGTCCACTACCCTTCAACATCTTTCTTGCCTCTGCAACGGCATCCCACATTCCATCTGAAGCATATAAGTTCGACAATAGAACATAAGATGAAGTAGTAATAGGCTCACGTTTTAGAAGCCGTCTAGCCAAGCGTTCGCCAATTACAACATCTCCATGCAGTCGACATGAAGAAAGCAAGCTCCCTAATATAACTGGGTCATGCCCAAAAGGGAATTTTTCTATGTACTCCTCAGCCTCATTTAGTCTGCCAGCTCGTCCCAGTAAATCAATTAGGCAAGATAAATGCTCCACACTAGGGTCAATCCTATAGATTTCAGGCATGGAATTGAAGTAAGCTTGGCCTTTGTCCACAAGCCCTGCATGATTGCAAGCTGTCAGAAGTCCAACAAATGTAACAGAATCTGGCTGCAAACGCCTTTCTTTCATCTGCTCAAAGAGTTCTAGGGCTTTTTCCCCAAGCCCATGATTTCCAAATCCAGCTATAATGCTGTTCCATGAGACAACATTACGACATTTCACTTGGTTAAAAACAGTGTACGCATATCCAATACAACCGCATTTAGCATACATGTTGAGAAGTGCATTACCAACACCCACATCCTCATCCAGCCTTGTTCTGATGAGATGAGCATGAATTTGGCTGCCATGGTGTATTGAAGCAAGGCCAGCACACGCAGCAAGGGCACTGGCATAAGTAAAGTCATCAGGCATTATACCATTTTCTTTTGTCATCTTGTTGAAAACACTCAACCCCTTTGCATAGTGATCACAATGAGAACAAGCAGTAATAACAGTGTTCCATGAAATGACATCTTTCTCTTCAATCAATTCGAAAGCCTTCATGGCTTCTTCTACCAAATTGAATTTCGAGTACATTGTTATTATCACATTGCCAATAAAAGCAGTGGAGTCGAGATTGAGCTTCACTGTTTGGCAATGCAATTCCATTCCTCCCCGCATATCGTCTGCAGAAGTGCAAATTCCCAGCACTCCCACGAAAGTAAAACGATCAGGGATTAGACCTCGTTGGTACATAAGTTTGAACACTTCAAACCCACTTTCTGGCTGCTGGTTTTCTACCAACCCAGTAATAAGTGCATTATAAGAGACACGATTTGGTTCAGACATGCCACTAAAGACTGATAAAGCATCTTTAAATCCACCGCATTTCATGTACATTGAAATAAGAGAATTTGAAACGAAAGAGATAGAAGAATAACCCAACTTCATAGATTGAGCGTGAATCTGTTGGCCTTGTGTCCGTGCCAAGAGACTGGCACATGCACTGATAGCACTGGCAAAGATGTATTCATTGGGCACAAGCCGCATTTGAGAAAAAAGGTCAATTGCCATTAGAGGTTCTCCAGACTGATCATACCCAGATATCATAGCAGACCAAGTCACAAGGTTTCTCTCAGACATTTCTTCAAACACTTTGCGGCCAAGTACAATGTTGCCACACTTGGCATACATATTGAGGATGTGGTTGGAGACAAAGACATCAGCTTGCACTCCTGTCTTGACGACAGCAGCGTGAAGTGAAAGACCACATCGAAACGCCCTGGTTCTGGAACACTGGTGCAAAAGTGAACCAAAAGCAAAGGTGTCGATTATCATTTAGCTCAAGGGTGGATCCAGGATTTCTCAATGGGCTGGGCTAAATCAAAATATATCAACCAAAATCAACTGTTGTTTAATTCAATTTTAGTTAATTAACAATGTTTCTTTAGACAGTTGACTGATTAAGGGATAGAAATACTATTTGGGTAATTAATAAAAAAAATTACCAATTTATTTCTGAACAATTCACCACTCAGTACCCTATCTCTTCTTTTGACCAATTTCCTAATCCTATTTGAGAATCTACTAGTGGAAGCAGAGTGTGAGGTAGTTCATGGCAAGCCCCTTCCAACATTATGGAATATTTTAATTTTCAAGAAGTAACTTTAGAGCTTTATCCTATATTAAGTACTTTTCCTTGTCAATGTTCTTGTTATGATTTTTTTGAGTTCTGAAAAGATTTACATCTTCAAAAAGCTTGGCATGTTGATAAAAAATGTTTCAGATTCAGTATCTGCAGATTTCTAATCCAATTCAATAATTCAGATTCTTTTTTTTTTATGCCCAGATTCAAATTTTAGACATAATTGACAACAACAACAACAAAAAAAAAAAAAAAAAAAAAAAAAAAAAAAAAAAAAAAAAAAAAAAAAAAAAATTGCTCAAATAAAATGTAGATTACGTGATTACCTCAAAATGCAATGCAAATTTTGTTACTTTATATATATATTAAAAAGATCATAAAAAATTTCACCGAATAGAATTTAGTTTGTAAAACAAGAATTACATACCTTGATTAGTTGGTTAGGAAAAAAATTTAAAACAAAACCCATACATACAAGTTAGCAGTTGCAGAGAGAGAGGGGGCAAGCTCGAGAGTTGAGAGAAATCGGGCCATCGGCTGAAGCTTGCGAACGGCGAACCCGAACTGGAACAGCGGGCGATGGAAACTGAAAGATATGGGTTTTGATTTTTTGAACAATCTGTAATGATATGCCGAAATGGGTTTTGATATAGGTAATAGGTTTTGAACTTTTGATTCTTGCAGACAGATAGATAAACTCAAATATATGGGTTTTGAACTTCCGATTCTTGTAGATTTTGTAGTTTGCAGTTCCAGATAGAGGGAGGGCAAGTACAGAGTTGAGAACGAGAATGGAGATGGAGGCGATTGGGGAGGCTGAAATGATACGCGAGGCTGAAATGATATGCGCTAATAATTTTTTTTTTTTTGTCTGGTGCCCCATTATCCATGGGCCAATAAATTTTGAGGCCGTAGGAGACAGCCTTTGGGGCCTTGGGTCAGGGTCGGCCTTGGGCTTATTTGGGTTGGGCCTTTATTTTAGTATAGTGAGTGACTAGACTTTGCCCTGATTGGGTAGGCTAATTTTGGGGTGGGCTAATAGGATTAATAAATTTTCTTTTTTAGGTTGGGCTAAAATTAGTATAGTAATTTTTTTTGTGGGCTCAAGCCCACCAGAACCCACCCCTACATATTTAGCTTTTTTCTTCATGTATTTTGGAAGGTATTTCTTTTTATGAGCATAGATAGAATATTTGTTTGACAGAAAAAAAAAAAAAAAAAGAAGGGTTAAAGTGCAAAACAAAACTCCTGAAATATGTGCTCTTGAACTATTATATTTTATTGCAAAATTTCCCAATACCTAGATTATATTTTATTAAATGACCACAATGTCCTTTGTATTGAATTACTTTTACTTTATTTTTCTTATTAAAATAAATTATGAAAAAAAAATCATACTAATTTAATGACATATTCTTTATTTAATTTGCATAAATTTAATTTTAATTTTTAAAATTAATTGTTTAATAAAAATATTTATCAAAAAAAAATTTAAAAAAATTTAATTATTATTTTAAGTTTTCATGAATATATTACCTGAAAAAGAAGGTAATTTTTTTTTAAGTAATTGATAAATTTTTCATTAATATATTGCAAGAAAGGGAAAATATTTTTACAGTAAAAAAGTTTAAACTAGTATAATAAGTTTTATTATAAATAATAAAATTTTAATAAGAATTTAATCATTCTAAAAAATGGTAATTACAAATCTTTTTTTTTCATTTTTATGATAAATTAATACAAATAATAAAATTAAGGTAAATAGTATAATTAATATTTATATTAAAAATAAAAAAATTAAAAATTAATAATTTAATAAGAAATGACTTAATCGCAAAGGGTAAAATAATCTTTTGCGATGTGTTTGTCCTTAATTTCAATACATCAATAATTCAGGGGTTATTTGCAAAAGGACAATAATTCAAGGGGGTTTTTTGCACTTTACTCCGAAAAAAAAAATGATTAAATAATTGATCTTTTTCGTTAAAATTATTGACAATAAAGTAATTGAGTTTGGATAATGTTAATACAACTGAACAATGAGAATAAAAAGAATGTGTAGTATATTGTATTTGAAAAAAGAAACAAAAAAGATGATCTGTTTCATAACTTTAATAGTAATTGGAAAAAATTGAATTATCTTGCTTTGAAAATAAGGGCAAAAATGGATAATCACTGTCACATCATTTTCTTTCAAAATATTTTAATTGACTATGAATAACTAAAATACTATTCAAATAGTAGCTTTCTCTAATTTTATTTTTATTTTTATAAACCTTTCCTTTCCTTTTTTTTTTATTTGTAAAACAAACGTAAAATAAGCTCTCTCTTATTGTATCTCTCCTTCTTCTTCTTCTTCTTCTTTTTTTTTTTTCCCACCTCTCCTTGTTTCAATCCAATCGCAATTACTGTACTTTTTTTACTACTTGGGTGTGCTTGCTCTACTACAAGGATCAGAAATTGGGCCCGGCCCTTTTATCAAGTGCAATAAGGTTTGGCTTTGCTGAGATGGTAGATACGGCCTTGGTTCCTGATTGTATAGCATAGTGGCCCACTTCCTACTATGTTAACGAAGTGAGAGTTTAATGATAGGTCAAAATTTATTCTAGTGTAAAAGTGACAAAATTTAAATCTTATTATGAAAATAAGAACGAGAAAATCCATGTGCCGTGAAGCATGAGAGCGGAAATGGGCGTGATGGGAAGCTAACCCTAAACACCAATTCTACACTGTCAAATGGTGTGCCTCCAAGACAAATTATTATATTTTCACACCACATGGCCTAGTGGGCAAGGCATGACATATATTAGACAAATTTCAATCCTGGTTGTCTCAATTTTCTTTATTCATTTTTGTCAAGTCATAATGTGGAAATCTGGAAGAGCCTAACTTCCACCGCAGCATGGCCAGGAGGGGTGGCATAGTGAAAAGTACAATCATGGAACCTTCCATTTGAATGAAATGAAGATTGTCAGGGTTTATATTTATTTCAACAAAATATCACTCTCCTTCAGCCTGCACCGTAAAGTGCGGGTAAAAGCAAACGGTGAGCTCGTGAGAATCAAAGTTACTTGCATCCAATTCAAATTGGATGAAATTTGTCCAATTTGAGTACGTGGCTCAATCCGTGCATGACTAATGTTCATCAGAACTATTAAACTTAAGTTGGGTATTACCCAACTTAAATGGGTTTGACTCGGCATAACTCTTTTTCTTGCAACAAATGAACAAAATATTCAAGATTGCAAGAATCAGTAAACCACCAACATCAATTCCAACGACGAGGCCAGTCGAGATGATCGATGAGCTATGACAGAGGTGATGGAGAAATTGAGGATGATGGAGGCGGCGCCGAAGATCTTGTAGTCCTAGTAGGCGGTGGTGGACTCCGATTCGACAGCGATGAAGGAGTTGAACTGGCTGGAGGAGGTGCAGATGAGGAAGGAGTCAGCGGTGGCGGCGATGGCAGAGACGTCGATGGAGCTGGAGTTGACGGCGATGGCGGAGACAGGGGCGGCTCGGCTCGATGTTAATCAGGGCGAAAAATAAAAAGTGGCTTTTATCATAATATGCAATATATTAATTATTATATAATAATTAATTAAAAATTATCCTTATGGCTTTTTGAGATACAAACTTACTAATTAAATTATTATATTCAAGTGTGGTTAAAATTTCTTTTTTAATAAATAATATAGCCAATCCATTTAATCTTTCTTGTGACGTAATTGATTGTAGATATGATTTTATCAATTTTAATTTTGAAAAACTTTTTTCTGCTACCGCAACAAAAAGTATAGATATAGATATATACAAATTTATAATAACAAAAGTCAGTAAAACTAAAAAGTAATTAAAGAATAAAGAATAATATAACCTAATTTAGAAAGAAGAAGAAAAATGCGTTCAAAATGAGATTTGAGAAACTAATGAATATTGAGTTGAGAAGAAAAAAAATTTGTAAAGTTGTATAATGAGAAAGGACTGAGAAAAGAGATGACTTGTAACTTGTAAGTAATAAAAATAAATAAATAAATAAAATAAAAATCTAAAAAAAGAGAATATGGAAAGTTTATTTATTTCCTCATACAATGACTAAATATTTATTGTAGTGCAACTTACTGAAAAAATATAAAATATATACATTGTTGGTGTAAAAAAAAAAAAAAAAAAAAAAAAAAAAGGATAAAAAAAAAAGATATTTTAGGAATTAGGAGATAATTTATCTCTTAGTTAAAGTTTAATGAAAGACGTGAATGATGATAAGGAGAAAGAAAATAAAAAAAGAAGAGTTATGTTAGTAAATAAATTTTTTAGAATTAATGTTCAACAAGGAAATAATTACAATATATTATATACTAGGCAATTATAATATTTTGGGGCCTTTTTATTGGCTGGGGCTTTAGGTGGCCGCCTAACTCGCCTAAGGCTCGAGCCGCCCCTAGGCGGAGAGGTTGATGGAGTCGGAGTTGACAGCAGAGGAGGTGAAGTTTCTGGTGCTACGGGTGGCGGCAGAGAATCAGTGGCAACGGGAGGGGGAGATGTCGCAGGAAGTGTCGGATTAAATGAAGGCGGGGTAGTTGTTGCTGGCGGGGGTGTCGTCATCGCCGGTGGCTAGGGGCGGAGGGAAAGGGGGGTTGGCAGGGGCCATGGCCCCCCTAATTTTTTGGAATTTTTTTAGTATAGGTAAAAAAAAAAAAAATAGTATAACATATATGGTATAAAATCTATACTTGACCCCTTTAAGAAATTTTTTATTTTTATTTCTCTAATTAGAGTTTAACAAAAGATAGTTTATATAGTGATTTAATTAACGACTATAGAACCCCGATAAAAACTGATTCACATACAAATTTTATGTTGCTATCTTAAAATTTAAACTCAAACACCATTTTTTCCATAATGTGACTACAAGTATGATTCTTTCCATAACCTTATTATTCTAAAATTCCATCTTATACATGATTCTTTCCATCATTTTTTTTTTTTTTTGCTTCTTTTTATTCATTTTTATTGAAATGCTTTTATAAGAATTCTATAATAAATTAATTTTTACAAAATCAAGAATAAAAATTTAATTTGAAGTTTTGAATATCAATAAAAATAGATGATTTAAGAATCTAAATTCTTATTTTATTAATTTGTTTGTGTGTGTGTTTTTTTTTTCATTGTTTTTGTTTTGTTAAATTTTCAATTGTTACATTTTTTTTAAATTTTTTTTTTTTTCTTTTCAATAAATAAAGAGAGTTATTTAATTGAATTTTTTTATAATTTTGACATAAATCTTATTTGTGTTTGTTCAGAAAGTTTGATAAAAAATTTATTTAAATAACTAGTTTTTTTTATTTAAATAAATTAAAAAAAGTTTAAATAGATATATTTTTATATGAATATATTAAATAGTAAAATATTTTTGCCTACATAATAATTTTTTTTTTCAAAAGTTATAACTATGTAATGTTGTTTATAATTTTGGCCTCCCCAATCTCAAGATCCTGGCTCCGCCCCTGCCGGTGGCAGTGATGTGGTATTGGTGGATGGTGGGGATGTGGGAACCGATACTGCAAAAAAAAAAAAAAGTTCTGCCGGGTCAAACCCATTTAAGTTGGGTATTAAGTTAGACACTTGTCATGCACTAATTGGCCCATGTACGCAGGTCGGACAAACTTCATCCAACTTGGGTTGAAAACTTTGACGCAAGTATTGTCCTTTGTTATTCCTAACAACAGGGTTTCAATTCTTACCTGCTTTCGGTCCTCTTTCTTCTCCATCCTATTTCTGGCAGCTTCAACCCACCCATATGTTAAATAACTTCAGACGAATAACCTAATAATAAAGACTCTTATAACACATTTCGGAGGTCGGGAATTTTAATTCACCACTCTCAAAAAATTTTCCTATAATTGTTCACGACATGTGGAACAAAATATAGAAGAACTGCATGTTAGGTAAATTATGGGTAAGAGTTCTAACACCACTATCATGATTCATGACAATATATATATGTATAATTATTATTTCTTTAATTTTTATATTAGACAATACTTGTCTATTAGCCTCCAAGAGAATATTGGTAGGGGTAAGGAAAATCTCGGCCTCCTTAAACGTACAAGAATGATATTAGTTTTTTTTTGGTTTAATTTTCTACTGTATATTTTTCAGATAATTAAAAATCATAAAATGATATACATAAATTTATTTGATTAACAGTTTTTTTTTTCCTAATTAAACATCACACAACCAGTTTGGTTGAAAGATTTCTGAAAGTAGTTTTATAAAAATTCAAATAAAGAGAAAGAAAATCGTATTTTCATATAATAATTTTTATAATTTTTTGAAAATAATTTTTTTTATGGATTATTTTATTTTATTTATTTTTATAAAGTTTATTTATTGTATGACACAAGAGTGAGTGTAGTCAAAAGAAAGCTAGCTGGTAGCTACTTCAATTAGCATACTATAGGGTGAATAAATTCCTGAAGTCAAATGTTGGCATCATCAGAATAAGTGAAATTACTACAGGGCAAGTCAGAAAAAAACGGTTTAAAGGCATTGAAAGTTAAAAAAAAAAAAAAAAAACCAGAGAATCAAGATGAGAGTTATTGCAATTGATGAATCACTTGAAAGTTCACGAATGACCCTGCACCAATTTCAACAGGTTGATCATGATTATGCTAGATCATAAACCATAAAGTGAGAGAAATAACTAAAGTTGAGATATTGAGGGTGATTTTGTTTTCATTGAGCACCAAAAAGTCCATGACCTTTGTCCCAATGACAACTACCTTTGTCCCACTAAATATATTAGTGGATTCGAGTCATTTTCACCCTCATTAAGATGTCTAATTACTCTATCTCCTCTTCTTTCTCTCTCTCACACACACATATTAGTGGAGTGGAGTGGAGTCATTTTCACCAATCAGATGTCTAATTATTCTCTCTCTCTCTCTCTCTCACACACACACACTTGGAACATGAATGTTGCAATGCATCTTTAATCATTTAGAGTCGACGTAAAATATTAAAAAAAACAAATACTCTCTCTCTCTCTCTCTCTCTCTCTCTTTCTCTCACACACACACACATTTGGAACATGAATGTTACAATGCATCTTTAATCATTTCCATTTCATCATTTAGATTCCACGTAAAATATTTAAAAGAAATAATATATATATTTTTAGATAAAATATTTTATTTTTATTTTTTAATATTTGACAAAGATTTAGGTCGTGTAAAATCTATTAAGTGAGACATATTAAATAGTTTGACGAAATTTGATGATCATTGTAAAATACATAAAATATTTTAAGGAGCACCTTGAACCATAAATTATTAAATAGTGTTGAATCACGTGATCCAATTTAATTAAAATTCTTTGAAAAAAATTCATAAAATATTACATAAAATAACTTAAACATAAATTTTGATTCAAAACCACAAAGTAATTTATGGTGGGAGATCATTTAATAATTTCTCCCATCAATTAATTACTGGATCCATTTAGGTTTTGTATGCATTTCATTATTATAAAAAATGAATTGCAGTAACTCATTATTTAATGTCATTAAGATCACATAATAACAATAAATTATCATGGATTTAATATTTAATATTTAATGTCATTAAGATCACATAATAACAATAAATTAACATGATTTTAAATATTTAATAGTGACCACTAAATTAGTGCTACACTGAACCAACACTTGGAACGGTGTTGTGAAGATAATGGGTGCATATGGATTCAATATGAGTGGATTTCATGTAGGGACTTGTTTGGGTGGTGTCATTCTGAATAGAAAGAAGGTTCGAGTATTTTATTGATTTCTCATGTTTGGATTATTCAATCCATATATATATATATATATATATATTTTATTTTATTTTATTACGTAGTATTATTTTTTTTCTGTCAGGAAATGGTCTTACTCAAGTCACATGCGGTGTACAAGCATAACGACAAGTTTGGTGGGGGCAACACTCACATGTCCTCGAAAAGTAACCGTTGCAACCCCATTTCTCTAATCCGGAAACAGAGAATCACAATCACCAGAAAATACACGCATTAACTATAATAGTGTTCATTTTAGAAAACAATGTCGTGGACAAAAAACATATAAATACTATACATCACATCAGTCAATTATTTATTTATTTATTTATTTTTTTTGTTGACTCTTCATTTACAGACTCCTAAAAAAGAGACACATGGACTTGGCATTTTTCTATAGATGAGGCCCATTTTTTCGTGTGGTGTGAATGTGATACACATGGACTTGGCATTTTTCTAAGAAGCAAAAAATTTTATTAGTTACTTTCAATTATTATTATTATTTCTCTAAAATTTCAAACAAATTCATACACCCACTCCGTTTTGTTTCTGTTGGGAAAGAAAATAAGAACCCTCAATCTTTAAATAAATAATTAATTTTATGTATGACGAGATAACATCAATACAACAATTGGTAAAAAAGAGGAAATTTCAAATTTATTTATTTATTTTTTTTTCCTGCTATTCGGTTGAGTAAGAAAGGAGAGAAAGGAATGATACATCTTTTTAAATTAAATAAATTGGGGGAGGGAGAAGAATGGAATATGTTTCTTTGCTACTTTCCTCTTGTGGAAAGAAGGCAATGGTTTTGAAGGGGAGGGACTTCCCTTTTCTCTTCCTCTCCTTCCTCCTTATCCGCTACCAAATGAATGAATGAATGACTCTCCTTCATTTCCTGATTTGTTTCACTTTTCTTTTCCACCGATAAGACTGTTAAAAAAGGAAATAATTGTGAAGTTCATGACAGTGGAGGAGTCAAAACAAGAACTCATTGGAGTAATTATAAAAAGTTGAGGGCAAAATTGGCAACACAAACTTTCTTGAACCCTTTTCCCAATTTATTTTTTATTTTTTATATTTAAGAGTTTCTAGCTTTTGCCTTGTTTGGATTGAGGAAATTGAAGAGAAAAAAGTTAGTGATTAGTTATTTTGCTCATATAGTTTTTAAAACGAGTGAATTCTAATTTTGTCTTAATATTCATAAAATAAAACAATTATTTCCAAAAAGGACCATCATTTTATAACTAATATTATTTATATTTTTTATAATTGAAATGTAGCAGGTTTAAGAATTCCCTTTATTTCATTTTATTGGAATATCATATTAAACAATGAGGAGATAACCGATAAGATTCTTTATTGTCTTTCCTTTTAACCCCCCAAACAGACTTATTTTGAGAAAATATTTAAAAGATATATTTTATACATAAAATGTGTATGAATAGAACAAATTCACATTGTCCATATCTATTTTTATTTATTTTTGGATGGAGAAAATATAAAAACAAATAAGAAAATGTATGATCACTTTTTTTTCATTTTAAATTTTGTTATTAACCAGCTTCAAAATTCATTACACCAAGGCTTTACATTTTGGACTTTGGGGATCTGGCTCAAGGGCAATAGCGTCATTATAAAAAATGACCAGGGATAATTCCGTAATTGAAGCTACAATTAATCAAACCATCTGAGAAGCGAGAATCCGACACCACACGCTGGAATGTTCCTATTTTTCACTCTCTTTACTCTTAAAAAATAGCATTATTTAATCAAAATTTCCCTAATTAAAACTCAAATACATTAAAAAATGTTGTTTATTTAACGATTTATATGCGACTCCTCCATCTTCGCTTCCCTGTCTGGCGCGTCTGAAAAGATAGAACCCTAACCACCACACCTCTCTCCCAGTGCCCAGTCTCACTCTCTCTCTCCACACTAACTGTGCAACCCTAGTTTGGTCTCCTTATTCAGCTAACATTGATCTCTTTGCTCAACAACTCCAGTTAATTTTCAGTGTGTGAATATATATATTGTTAATGTCACACTTGTAGTGGTGGATGATATGTAGCGTATTCGATTTCGGTCGTAATTAGTGTTCGATTGTTGCATTTTCGGTGGAGGAACAGTGACGATCGCTTCTATGTGAATTTATTGCAGATAACGCTTTTGTTGATTCCTTTCGTGAATCAATGTGAGTAAAGATCTCTGCTTTATACTATTGCTTTGGTTCAAATTCGATTTTATTTTTTATTTCTAAGGACAAAGATGTGAGCTAGGGTAGATCTTGTGATTCCTTTCTTGAATTGTTGGTCTTATACACACTCTCTCACTCTCTCTCTATCTCTCTCTCTCTCTCTCTCACACACACACACACACACACACACATATATATCCGTATATCAATTTTTGTCTCGCCGTATTACGCAGATTAATCACATGTGGCAAATGTGAATAAGAGAGAGCCTTACCGATTGGATCAACTTATTGCTTTAATAAAACACAACGCTATTCGTTAATTGAAGTTGCTGGTTTACTCTCACTCTCTATATATAACTATCTGTGTATCTGTATATTTTGTGCCATCTGTTTCTATTTTCATAGGACGTTCAGTCTTTTTTCAATGCATCTATACATAAACTACTAAAACTGTGTTTATGTTTGTACTGGACACGGTTGAAAACAAGCTTGTTTTTATGTAATTAAAAATGCTAGAAATAAGCTTTGATTGCTCTTTCCAGTCTCTGACTCTCTCTAGAATCATCACTTAATTTTTAGTTAGTTATTAGTAAATTGAACTTAATAGATCTTTTGGCTCCTGTAGTTGACTCTGGATCAGTGAAAATGAGGGATGTCGAGTTTAGGTGTACAATTTTAATGTTATTTGGCCTCTTGATCATTGGGAAGGCGGAGGTTTACATTGCAACTGTTGAAGGAGAGCCTGTGATAAGTTATAAAGGCGACCTTGATGGTTTTGAAGCCACAGCGGTGGAGTCCGATGAGAAGATTGATGTCACCAGGTACTGACAATGTCTCTCAAGTAGTATTTTGTTTTAAAAAACTAAATGTATTTTGAAATCTTGGCTGTAGCATGTCACCCTCTAATCAAGCCATGCAAGTGGGTCCTGACCGCTGAAATGTCTTGTTAAAGAATAGGACTTTTTTTCCCCTGTTTATATGTTTGACAATCTGATCATTTGAACTATTCTACTGGCTTTCATTCTTATCACTATTATTAAAATTGATACTTATAGGAGAGATTGGCTGCACCTTATCATGTAAATTATCCTTCAAGGACACATAATTGGGTGCTTAGGTAGCGGTAGTTACACTGTTACAGCGTTTATTGTGATATTATTCAACATAAATTGCACTTATATTGATTTTTCTAGGAGATCTAATCTAAATTATCAACATTAATAAATTTTGTCTGATATAAGCATGTTAAATTGACTCGGTACATACTGCACTTATTTGGGTTTTATTAAAATTTTATAAGTAAAACTAAAGGGATGTGAAATCAGCAGTCCAAAAAAGCTCCTGCCCCCCATTCTTTGTTATATGAAATCTATTACTATTATGGAGTGTGGGAGGCTATTTTGGAGTGTGAATATTGCCCACCTGATTAAATTATATGTTATTGATAAAATGTGCCTTTTCTGGTAGATATTAATAAATTTCTCATGATATAGACAAGATGTTATTGCTGTTTGTTCATTTTTTTGTGCTTGATTTACAAGGACTAATGTTTTATATCCCCTTCTTGCTTTATGCCTTTTGGTAACAGAACTTATATTTGAACCAGTCCCCCTATTAAACAACACTAAATCCTTCAATTACCAAATAATTTAAAATTGACAGAACCAAGTTGTCAAGTCTCTTATTTGCAAATGTTTCCTTCTCTGGCAGATAGAAAGATAAGGTATCACATAAAGTACCTCAAACTCATGTCATTTTCCCTTGCTTTTGTTATCACTCCTTCTTAATGTCTAACAATAAGATTAGATGTGATCTTGTTCAGCTACTTAAATATTCTGATATGGATGTACTATATATCATGCCTTTTAAAAAAAAAACTACCATGCCATTCTAACTACAGCCAGTATTATTTTGGGAGAAAAAGCTGTTGCCCTATCACTTCCACATTCTATATGATGCAATTTGAGGAGTATACTCCTTATTCTGCCGAGGAAAAAAGTTTCTCTGAATCTCCGTTGATTGTTACCATGCCTTTTTCCTTAAACATTATGATAGTTTTCTTCCCTATTTCATAAAATTCATTGATACATTTAGAGCCATGCTTGTTTACACATTTCCCCTATATTTTGGGCCTCTTTCAGTGAAGTAGTTACTTCCTATTCTCGTCACCTTGAAAATAAACATGATATGCTTCTCGGGATGCTGTTTGACCGTGGGACCTACAAGAAACTCTACAGCTACCGGCATCTTCTAAATGGTTTTGCAGTTCACATTTCTCCTGACCAGGTGACAGCTTGGACTTCTTTTCTACCAGTTTTCTTTTAAAAGTAATTTCTATTTATAACAATTCTCTTAGCTGGTTGATCTTCAATCCTTTTGCATTTCCGTTTCCTTACACAATCTTAGTATATATTAGTAGGCAGAAATTCTTAGACGGGCTCCTGGTGTGAAATCTGTGGAGAGAGATTGGAAAGTGAGGAGACTTACAACACATACACCACAATTTTTGGGACTTCCAACTGGAGTATGGCCGACAGGAGGCGGCTTTGATAAGGCTGGAGAGGACATTGTAATAGGATTTGTGGACTCTGGGATTTATCCACGTCATCCAAGCTTTGCTACGCACAATACCGAACCATATGGCCCTGTTCCGAAGTACAGAGGAAAATGTGAAGTTGATCCTGATACCAAGAGGGACTTCTGCAACGGAAAAATTATTGGAGCCCAACATTTTGCGGAAGCTGCAATAGCAGCTGGGGCATTCAATCCTGCAATAGATTTTCCTTCTCCGTTGGACGGTGATGGACATGGAAGGTTAGAACCCATACACTTCTATACTACTAATTCCAATGAGAATATGGTGGTGCCATTTCTTTCTTTTAATTTTTATGAAGTTCTTCTGTATTTGCTTAATAGCTTTATTTGAAATAGAACTGGTTGACATGAGGAGATAATAATAGCTTCCAGGGAACTAAAATAACCTGTGTACTTTTTGCCAAGTTTAAGTGGGGTTTGATGTGGAACTGGTCTTTGATACATGTTGGAAAGTTGAACCAGTAATATGAGAGATTTAAATTCAGGGAAATGCAATAAAGTAATACATATAAGGTTCTGGATGTGTGACTATATATAACACATAACTTAATTTGAAAATAAAAAAGTGAAAAATCGATTATATACACCTTATCACGTAGGTAACACATAAATTAATTTTACTATTACACACACGCAAGCCTACAAACAGCTATGACCTTAAATAGAGCGGAACGGAAACATGGGATTCATGTAGCTGACCCCAAGTAATTGGGAAAAGGCTTGGTTGTTGTTGTTGTAAACCTGCAAACAGCTGTTTCTGACTGCACCACATTACTTATAAATGTGTTTGCAAAGCATATTGTACAATAAGACGCGAGATGCAAAACCAAATAGACTGTGGATTGGATGTGATGAATGTTTCCTTATATGATATTGGTTATTGCATACTAAATCTTGCATATTTTTTGTTATAACACAAATTCACAACCTAGGATACACTAAAATAACCTATGATGCTCTAAAATGTTAGCATATCATGGTTTTTTTGTTGTTCTTGTCCTGTCCTCTATAATCGTGAGAGGCTTTGGGTGTTGTCTTCTACTACAGGGACATGTCCCAAGACGGGTTGGCAAACTGAAGTAGCACTGCAAATGAACCAAACTGTTCATGTACAGTTCAGGCTTGACTCGTTTGAAGCTTGGATTGGGCTCATTTATTAAGTGAACAAGCTGAGCTTGAGCTCGATTTTTAAGCTCTTTTGATTAACAAGCTGATGCTGAACAATGCTAGGCTTGTGAACAATCTCATTTAATCATGATGAGTTTTTTTTTAGTATAAGATTAGTCCGATGAAAATAATAGTCCATGGCTCTCTATTAATCAAATAAGACTCATTACAATCATATATATAAGCCTATATGTGAAAGATATATTAAACCAAATGATAAACCCAACAAAAATGGCCCATGTTCCTTCACCAATCCAACTAAAGCCCATATGCATCCACAATTAGAAATCCTAATCTATCTCATTTTCAATTGCCATACTCTCATGCCCCTATCCTCACTCTCAACTTTCATTTCCTGGTTGCTTACAACCACCTTCTCGATCCAGGCCTTGATTCTATCATTCCTCTCCCTTCACAACATTGGTTTCTTTCTGGAGAAGATACGATCAATAACAGTATTAGACAACTTTAGTTTCTGACGGGACAGTCTTGAACTACGATAAGATTTTTTTTTTTCAAACCATAATAAATAAAAGAATTTTAGTTAATTGATATTTTCATTGAGTACATTTACGATTGTTATTGGAGGAAGAGAGAGAGAGAGAGAGAGAGTCTCGCATAGCTCCATCCTCGGATGCGATAGATGGAAAGAGAACGGTGGACTACTGTCGACTATTTCCTCCAACTTTCAAGTATATATGTATGTAATATATATTTGTAATTGTATATATGGACTTGTTTGAATGTGTAGGTGAAGCTATGTGTATAATCTATGTGTGACCTTTGTACAACACACACACACACACACACACACACACAATGCTTTGTGTGATATATACATCTTACCTGAGATTCTATGTGTTTGGACAAGTGAGATCAAGTTGAGCCTAGCCGAGCCTGAGATTACCAGGATTACTAACAAGCTGAGATCCTTTCGACTAGACCAAGCTCGTCTGAGTACAAGCCAAGTCCGAACACCTCTCTCACTTTGGCAAGCTGAGGCCTAACATGCCAAACCTTAGCTTGGTTCAGTTCATTTGCAACCCTAAATAGAAGGGGAAAAAATTCAATAGTTCAAGTGGTCAGAAGTATCTCATCCCAACCATGCGCATTCTGCGACATGAGTTTTGTTTCTTTTAAAGCAATGGAAAAACAAAAACTCGAATACTAAGGGAAGGAAAAAGGCTGAGGCTAATACAACCTTATGCCAAAATCCAACACACTCAAAAGAGAACCTCATGGGATTTTGTCTGAAGGACTCTTGTGCTTCCCTCTTGGCCAAGGAATTTTCTTCCTCACTAGTCCATGTCGGGACCAAACTCATAACCACTTTATGAGTGGAAAGCAAATTCAAAATTTCTCTTTGGAGGTCAATATATAACCAACCACAGCCATAGTCTCTACCTACTTCACTGCACAACCAAACAGAAAAATGAGGAAAAATTTAATTGTTCTGTTTGCTTAGTTTTACAGCGTTTCAAATTTTTTCAACTGCTAGTCACTTCATTCTATTTAATTTTGATCTGTTTTTCTTTAACAATGTTGCCTGACAGTCATACAGCAGCTATTGCAGCTGGAAATAATGGGATTCCAGTGAGAATGCATGGATATGAATTTGGGAAAGCAAGTGGGATGGCTCCTCGTGCCAGGTGAGGATCGAATGATCGATATATATACTGGCGAATATATAGTACGAATTTTCATCATCCTCTTTCTTGGTATTAGTTACAGGAAGAACAATTTTTTATTTGTCTATGTTCAGGATTGCTGTTTACAAGGCACTCTACAGGCTTTTTGGAGGGTTTGTTGCAGATGTTGTGGCTGCCATTGAGCAGGTATGCTGGTATGCCAAGATTGACTTATGAAATTGGAGGAGATGCTAGTATTATTCTTTGTTGCGTTTGTCCTCTGGAATAAACTGAGGCTATGATGTTGTATAGCTTTCCTTATTGTCTCTTGTTTCCATGCAAGCAAAGCACTCAGAATTTTAGATCTGTTTACTTTGACTGGCAACGAAATGGAAGCTTCTTCTTGTTCACTTTCTGAATGTCTTATTTGTGCTCTTCTTTTTTGCTTGATTGATTTTCTGCATGGTATAAATTATAAATACCATCAACAATGATGAGGTTTTTCGAGGAAGTTATAATTTTGAGAAAATTATACCAACTTAAGTTATGGTGTTCTTGCTGCCACTGAATTTTGTTTGTTTTTCTATAATCCCAATTTTGCTAATTGGTGTTTGCCATCCTATTTGTCTCACCTTTTTGAAGATTGGTGGAGTGAATCTTGTTTTTTTTTTCTTCTATATTTTGCCTCTTTTCGAGGATTGGTGGAGCGAATCTCCTTCTATTTTTTTGCCTGAGTGTGGAAACAACTCCTTTCTGCATCATTTGGTGTATCCAGAAGGAGCTCTAACAGGTTGCCTTTTGAGACTCCAAGCTTTTGTGTCGTTGCTGAAACCCTTTTCAACTTTTTTGGTAGGTAATATTCTTAAAACTCTCTGGACTACAAATTTTGAAAGTTTTTCGGTAGTCTCTTGTTTACTAAATTCTTGTTGATTTCCAATTTTTTCCCTATTAATTGGGCAGTTTGGCTTTTAGCTTTAGCATACTTGGTTGGTGGTTTAGAATTTTTTGCCTTCTCTATCAGTTGATGGTTTTTTATTTATTTATTATACATATTCTAAAGTTCGATTTCAGTTGCGACAGTGTAGGAGAAAAAATTTCTTAGGTGTCATGTCACATGAGATCAGGTTTCAGATCACACAGTACTTTCAGATTTCCTTGAGTGAAATATATAGCATTTACTTACAAAAAGAAATAAAAGGGAAATATATTGCATTTGGTGACGAAATTATTGAAGGAAAGATATCAGGCCTTAGTAAATAAGTGACTGTGCCATGAGGGAGGCTGTTGATTCTGGTACTGTAGTTGATGAGATCAGGTGGTGCTAAACTGTTTAACAAGAGAACTGCTACCTTGGCGTGGGGAAGAACCATGAAGGTTGAAGGGTAATTCTTTTTGAAGCGACAAATTTAGTTGGCAATTTGTGGCAGTTTGTGTATTTTTATTTTGGATAGAATTTTCACTTTTTGGTTTCACAGATGCAAAAATATTTTAATAATTTTGTAAATTGCTCTCTCTCTCTCTCTCTCTCTCTCTCTCTCTCTCTCTGGTTTGGTTATGGTGTTTATACTATTACCTTCTCTGGAGTTGTCACCTGTCATGTTTTTTGACTTGGTAGGAAGTAATATAGTCATATTTATTTCAGCTATAGTATTGCTTAGTTCTGTTGCAATGTGTTCTGCATACTTTCTGTTTGAAACATTTAGTAAGTTCGTGGCACTTACCAACTTTTTTTTATGGTGGAACAACTCTGACCTGCTGCTTTGTGTGGTTTGCTTGTTGACATCTAAGTAACAGCTCTGTGTTTATTTATTTATTACATATATATATTATGTATCCTCTACTTCTTACATAAATGGAGCATCTTTCTTTAAGTTTTATTTAATTTGCTGAACTAAAATCTTGATGGCTGAGATGCTCCTCATGTGCCCACTACCCAGAATGATACAACAAAAAAAAAAAAAAAAAATGAGAGAAAGAAAAAGAGAAAAGAAACCGTTAATTGATGGCCTCTCGAAGGCTGCAATAGCTGCAAGTGATATGAGAATCTGAGATCCTTTTTATTACTTATTTTTTTATCTGTCTGATAATCTTTTATAATTTCTGCTTACGTAAGGAATTTGATGTTTGAAAGCTTTTGTAACAGGCTGTTCATGATGGTGTTGACATTCTCAATCTCTCGGTGGGGCCAAACAGTCCTCCAACAACCATAAAGACCACATTTTTAAACCCTTTTGATGCTACACTTCTTGCAGCTGTGAAAGCCGGTGTGTTTGTTGCACAGGCAGCTGGAAATGGAGGTCCTTTTCCAAAAACCTTGTTGTCTTATAGTCCATGGATAGCATCTGTGGCTGCTGCAATTGATGATCGTAGATACAAAAACCATCTGAATCTGGGAAATGGGAAAATATTACCTGGAATTGGGTTGTCACGTAAGTTTCACGCAACTTGATTATATCTTGCCTTTTTTTTTTTTTTGGTTTTAATTTGGTAGCCTTCAAGAGGATTCTCATGTGATGTTGCAGCTGTTCCATTCTACAATATTTATTTACATAATTAAATTCTATTCTCAATTACCTTCGAACTTCTTGTTTGAGATCATTCTTTACTAGTTTCCCTTGATATATGTATGCATTCTCAAAGCTGAAGCATGTTTCATGGCTTATTGTAGCTGCTACACATTTGAATCAAACATTCACCATGGTCGCGGCTAATGATGTACTGCTTGATTCTTCGGTCATGAAGTACAGCCCTTCAGATTGCCAAAGGCCAGAAGTTTTAAACAAAAACTTGGTGAAGGGAAACATTCTTCTTTGTGGCTATTCCTTCAATTTTGTTGTTGGTACTGCATCAATCAAGAAAGTGTCAGAAACAGCCAAGAGCCTTGGTGCAATTGGCTTTGTTCTTGCAGTAGAAAATGTTTCTCCAGGAACGAAATTCGATCCTGTTCCTGTTGGAATTCCTGGGATTCTAATAACAGATGTTAGCAAGTCAATGGTAAGTATCATGGCTCTTCTACTTGATGTTATGATTTTTGGGAGTCAAGTACTACTGGGCCTTAGCCCTTGGGCTGTGCCATATAAGTATTTAGAATGGTAATCACATATGGACAGTGCCACTGAAGTTCACTTTTGCAAGTTTGTACTCCCCGATGATCACCACCCATTTCCTTTTCAGTTTGTTCTACTCTTGCTAAGATGCATTGCTTTCTTTTGTCTTCACATTTTGTGTATTTATTATTTTCTTGCCTGTTCTTAATCTCAAGTCTGGACTATTCCTGGTTCTTATGTTTTTGTTATCCACTGCATGGGCATCCCTGGTTTTAGGAGCTTATAGACTACTACAACATCTCTACACCAAGAGATTGGACTGGACGAGTAAGGAGCTTCAAGGCCACAGGCAACATCGGGGACGGTTTGCTGCCCATACTCCACAAATCAGCCCCCCAAGTAGCATTATTCTCTGCTCGAGGACCCAATATAAAAGATTATAGCTTTCAAGATGCGGATCTTCTCAAGCCAGATATTCTAGCTCCTGGTTCTCTAATTTGGGCAGCCTGGGCTCCAAATGGGACGGATGAGCCTAATTACATGGGTAAAGCAATAATATTCCTGATCACTATTCTCTCCTTGTTTTAGACGTTCCATTAAATGTTTTAGGCTTAGAGAGGCTCTACCAAGCTTTTATTACTTCAAAAGTGGAATAGAATTTCGCGGCACTTAAATAATTTTTCTGACATATGTATATATGTATGTAAATTTGAGGTTTTGACCAACTTGGCCAGTGTGGCCTAGCGGTACCAAGCTTCTACTTCTCAAAGAGAGGTTAGGGGTTCGAGCCTCGGTGGAGGCATTTGTGTGTGAGTACCAACTAGGAAAAAAAAAAAAAATGCACTTAATACATACTAAGCAACTTAGAAATCATTTTGCTTGGATTAGGTGAAGGATTTGCAATGGTATCTGGAACTAGCATGGCCGCACCACATATTGCAGGGATAGCTGCTCTAATAAAGCGGAAGCACCCTCATTGGAGCCCTGCTGCCATCAAATCAGCCTTGATGACGACATCGACTACACTGGACAGAGCAGGGAGACCTCTTCAAGCCCAGCAATATTCTGGTTCTGAAACCATGACATTGGTATCAGCAACACCTTTTGATTATGGTAGTGGCCATGTCAATCCCAGAGCTGCTCTAGATCCTGGACTTGTCTTTGATGCAGGTTCTTTCTTTGTCTTCTTTTCTTTTCTTCTTCACTTTTTCCCCCCTCATAATGAGATAACACACGAGTTGAGGCCCAATGAGGCTTGATCTATTATTGACTTCACGTGGGAATTGAAAGTAAATAATATTTGTTTTGATGAACTTGAATTTAAACCAATGTACTTTCCACTTACTGCTTGGGGGTTTGATCCTTCTATCACTGCTATGATTTGACTCCTTTTATTCATTTACTTATTTTTGAGTGGGTTTTGATTTTCACAAGAAGCCAACTGTCAGATTTCTGAAGTATCTGTTATCTTGCCTGCCAACCTGACACATCATTACCTAGATGTTATCATATTTCACTTGCACGTGGTCATAGACTTAGCCTCTGTTCAATTATGGCCACAGAATTTGTATGATGTCCAGGGATTAAATCTTATTGTACATATATGACACACACACACACTCTTTGGACACATTTAACTCTAGTAAGGTTGGTAAATGTTAAGAATCTCTGAATCTCAAGGAAGATTTCTGATAGTTGCTTCTTTATTTCTCTTTTCTGAAGTTAAATAATAATTCTGGGAGATAAAGAGGGGTAAGACTACCAATTCAAAAAGCCCCGCTACAACCAATTGCTCTAAAAGTTCAAGCTGTTTAAGAATGGGCTAACAATGTACATCAAGCTCCAACACGGGCTATAGTATAGAAATGACAGACCTGTTGCCCAAGAGGTGTATGGGAAAGAAGAAATATGAACCCTAGAAATTGCTATATATTTAGATGGGTAAATGAAAAAGTTATCTGATGAGGAACTTATTTTTGAAAGTATCCGAGTACTAGGAAACTGTTTAAGGGATTTCATATGGGAATGTTTGTCTTGTTTTTAGGATGTTTGAGAATATTGACTATTTGGGTGGGCAGGTTGTTCTCTAGTTTTAATCCCTAATCGGTCAAACTTCTTTTTGCTGGATTCTATTTTGTAGGTTATGAGGATTACTTGGGCTTCTTGTGCACAATACCTGGAATTGATGCTCGTGAGATCAAGAACCACACATATTCACCATGCAACTACACTCTTGGCCACCCATCAAATCTGAACACCGCATCAATCGCAATTTCCCATCTTGTTGGTACTCAAGTTGTTACACGCACTGTCACGAATGTTGCGGAGGAAGAAACATATGTGATAACGGCAAGAATGGCACCGGCGGTTGCCATTGAAACCAACCCCCCAGCCATGACTCTAAGACCTGGTGCTTCACGGAAGTTTACGGTGACTCTCACTGTCCGATCACTCACAGGAAAGTATGCTTTTGGAGAGGTTTTGATGAAAGGAAGCAGAGGGCACAAGGTCAGGATCCCTGTGGTGGCTATGGGTTACCAGCACTAGCTTGGATTAATAATGGAAATTAAGTCGTTATGGGTTGGGATATTCTTTGTAATATGTGGGAATAAGATATAAAAAGCTAAATGTATTTGTCTGAAATATATACACATATATATATATCTATGGAAGGGATGTAAAGAAGATCACTAATAGTAGGGTGAGACTACTAGTTTCTTCCTCTCATATAAGTTTTGCTAATTTGTTTTGTAATATGGTGGAATGCCTGTATTCCCCTTTACATTGATTGTATGAAGTAGCCTTGGTTCCTAGGTCTTTAAAGATTGGAGAAGCGAAGGAGGGTTGGGATGGGGTTTTATGCTTCTCTATTGTTGTATTATTGACTTTTCTAGTAATAACTAATTACAGTTTGCACCATCTTGGTTGGATTATATTGCCTTATTCAACTTTCACAACCTCTTACGCCCACGCATTCAGATAAATTGCAACCCATGGCTATTTGCTGCAAAAAGTCGGAGAACGTGACAACCAGAGATTGTTACACTAGTTGCCAATAATGAATAAAGACACAACTGACATGTGGTACCTGAGGACTTAAGCTACACTTTTAACCTATCTAATCCAAGACAGCATTTGGAAAAAAAAATAAAATAAAAAAAAAAAATTCCAAGACAGCTTTTGAACTACTTAATTGTGTTGGAGACAATTGGTTTTGAGGACTCGAGGTACAAAAATGAATCGCTCAAGTGTTCAATCATCGTTATTACACAAAATACAAAGTAAATTGTTAATAGAAAAATGATTCCCAGTGTTGCGGGTTTTTGTCCCTCGATTGGATTTGGATGCGAAGTGTCTTGACCTCATAAGGGCTGTTAAACACAAGCCGTAACGCTCCCGCCCTTCTTATAACGGAGAGTCTTAGGCTTCTAAGGGCTGGCGCAACACAGTCGCTCAAATGACGAACACAACACATTACCCGCTTTTATAAGCGGGTAGACCCAATCTATTTTGGGTTTAACCCAAACCAGGCCCAATTTCCATTCTATTATCTGCAAGTTGGCAACTATATACGTAGCAAGTTAGCGACACGAGCACATCCAGTCACAGGCCCATTGCATTAGCGGCTAACTAGACCCATCCATTGGTGACCAGCCCTAACTCGTACTTGATGAATCAAAGTTCTCGGTGCTCCGTCTCCCTTTCACTCACACACACACTGGCTCAAACACACGTACAACTGACGGAAAACGAAGGTATTTTACTTTGAGCTGCAATTTCCTTTTCAATTTCTTTGATTAGTTCCACTGCACTATTATTCTTATTTTGTTTGATCAGTTATACTTTACCCTACAAAGTTCTCAAATCATCTTTTCATGTAAATCACTTCTAGGATTGACTACCATTTCTTCATTTTCCTTGTAATTTTATATACGAAGTCTAATTTTAGGTTAAGCTTCTTACGCCTTTAACTTAATTTTTCCTATTGTCTATTGGTTGAGGCTTTTATCTTTACTTGGATTGGAGATCTCAATTTTGGGGTTGTGTTTTAATTTTTTGGATATCAAATTTACTTGATTGTAAAATCTGTAGCACTTTGTGTTCAGTATTGCTTTGCAGTTAGCACTTGCTGAGGACATTTCATAGCATTTGTCATTTCTTTTAAAGTATAGTGTTTGGTTTAAATATATGACTAATATATCTTGCAGAAACATAGAAAAATTGCTACCAGATGGAGGATTCGTCATTTTTTGGTACAATGATGAATCAGCTTCGTACAACGTGCAAGTATGTGCAGTACATTTCTACTTGTAACTTCCACACACACACAAAAGTACTTTGTTTCTTGAGTGTGTAACTTTTCATACTCAGTATTTCATTGTTGGAATGTGCCCTTTTCTTAATAAAATTCTCGCATGCAACATATTATCTTAACCGTTGTTTATTTCCTTTCCTCTCTCACCCAATTTAATGGAAAATTTTATGTTGGGATAATTTGTATAATATATGTACTGAGTCTCGTGCGGGGAAAACATCTTTTGGACTGATTTTCATATTTTCAAGACACTCTTGTGGCATTAACATCTTAAAGTTCAAACCCTCTGTATGCTATTTCTTCCACAAATTGAGGATGTTATTTATATAAGCTTTCTGATTGGCATTTTTTTTTTTTTTTTTTGGTTGCAAAATATTGTGTTTAAAATTTTCAAATTTCATATGATGACACTCACATGGATTAGACACCATACATGCTTGCTGACAGGAAATTAAAAGAAAACATGTCAAGCACAAGGACTATTTTTTCCTCATTGTTCTTTTCTTGTTTGAAAATGAGATTCTCTCTATTTTTGAAGATGCTAGGTTTTAGAAAAAGCTGATGATTTCCTTATTATTTCAATACAATTATACAGTTTTTTTGAATGAGAAAAATAACAAAGTTCTGCTTTGTTTACTTTGATAGGGGAAAAAAAAAAAAATCATTTTAAAATTTTGGAGACAGTGTTGATCCCACGTGAGCTATCATGACTGGCCCGTGTTAGTGTCCAAACACATGCTTGATTGAGGCATGGATCCTATGCAGTTTGTGTTTGTGCCATTCATGTAAAGATAAAATTATTAACTTCTATTATTATTATTTTTGAAGAAATGAAGTGCCAAATATGCAGATTGTTTCTTAAGTTTGGTGTCTTAACGGGATGCACCCCCTTCTTAGTTCTGAGATATGGAATCACCTTAAGCATAGTTACACTGTTTGATCCAATTTTCCTCTTGTCCATCACTGAAGTACCTCTTTTCTGACATGCCTTTACTGTGTCATTTGTAAAAATTCAAAGATATTATACTGGTTATCCGAAGGATCTCAGGCCATCTCGGGTTATTCATTTTACCTCAGAGCGTGAGTTTGTGCAGCTTCTACACCAAGGTTACCCTATGGTTGTGGCATTTACCATCAGGTGATTTGGAATTGATACTTTCTTATTTGTTGTTGTCTCCTATCTTCATCAAACTGACTCCTTGTGTCTATGTACTTATTTTGGATGGTCAAGGGGTAATTATACAAAACATCTTGACAAAGTACTGGAGGAAGCTGCAGTTGAGTTTTATCCGCATGTAAAATTTATGCGCGTAAGTTGCTTCTTGAAAATGAATTATGTATTGTCATATAACTCGGGTTATCATTAGTTATAATATGTTGAACCTGTTAATATGCATGATTTTTAATTTTCTTAACATCTTTTAGAAAAATGGTAAATTATATAGCCAAATCGAGCATTGTTCCTGCACTTTAAAGGGTGCATACAATTCCAGATAAAATTTTCATAGTTTAAACCTCTCTCTCTTTCTTTCGCGTGCGCTCGCTTGCTATGCATACATGATTGTACGCAAGTATCAATGAAGCATTTTGCAATAGCTCTGTCATCACAATAGTTAATACTCGAATCTCATGATTCTTAGTACTTGTGATGGTGTTTTTCAGGTTGAATGTCCAAAATATCCCGGCTTTTGTATTACACGACAGAGGAAGGAATATCCATTTATAGAAATATTTCATAGTCCAGAACAAGTAAGTAAGACTCAGCATGCTGATGTAAATTCTACTCAGACTTGGCGATTCTTGAAGTTTCATTTATGACAATTTAACTGTTGGATTGAATGTCTTCATGTTAATCTTGCACACCAAAAATCAAATTATTGGAGATTTAGAACTGCCTCATCAACATTACACTTTAAATGAAGTCTGATTCTAATATATCATTAACATAAAATTATGGGTTCATAGGGTGGACACTTTTGTCTGATTGACTTAATATTTGTCATGCATAACAGATACAGTAAACATATATAACCCAACGGTCGAATTTGAAAATACAAAATCTATAAAAGTATTATAGGGTGTAACAATCAATGCAAGTTGTATATACAAAAATACAAACGTTTATATCTTTGGGGGGTCTTTAATTTTTTTTTGGGAGGGGGGTGAGGGGAGGGGTGCTCTTCTATTTTGTGACAATTTTTTAGCACTTTTCTTGTAGTCTTTGCCTAGAGATGGCAATTTCCTCCAACCCGCTGGGTTTTTGCCCCGCTCCACTCTTAATGGGGCGGATTTGGTAGCTCCATAAATGGGTTTGGGGCGGATATGGTAAAGAATTGAAAACCCGAAACGGGTTTGGGGCGTGGACGGATTTAGTGATGCCCCCACACCGCCCCCCCCGGCGACCCGACCCCACCCCGATTATATATATATATATATATAAAGTATATATTTAAGTTAAGTGTCCATTAGTATATTTTGACTAAATATTCGCTAGAATAACTACTTGCTAAAATTCCACAATTGTGCACGTGATTCAATCTTCAAGAATCAATCAAGGATTCAAGATCTTAGTATTCTATCCCAAGTCCAGGAATTAATTCAATAGTTTCAACTTTACCGCAATTAAACGGAGTATGCGGGACGGGGTCGGTATTTTGTCTACCGGAGTAGGGGGGCGGGGATGGTATACCAATTATAAAGTTAGAGCGGAGTTGGTATGATAGATTTTTTAACGGGGCGGAGTGGAGTAGGTTTAGCCTACTCCACCCCAGCTCCGCCCTGTTGCCATCCCTATGACTTTGCCTTCTTGACATTCAATGTTGTGTTAGTATTATTTTCAACGGATGTTTGAATTTCTGTTGAGTGGTTTATGTTCTTTCTTGTGCAGGCGGCTAATCAAGGGAGGGTTGCTGATCCAAATATTACAAAGTACTCTGTGAAAGTTTTACCTGTGAGTTTCAAGTGTTATATATATATATATATATATTATATTTTGATTGTAGTAATTTGACAAGTTTGCTTGCTAACTTTTTCCATTTGCTAACTTCAGACTTCAGAGGCTCTTACTATTGCACTTTGAAAACGATAGTTCAAAGAGTCAACCCTTTTGTTTTTTCTACTATGTTCAGGAAGGGGTGGGTGGTATGGGAATGCTAAGTATGATGATTCCTAGACAATATTTGATAATACTTGCCATTTACATATTTTGTTCGATTTAAAGGTTTTCTTGATAAGGTCTAGATATATATACAATAAGAGATCAAAAATTCATTTTCGAAAATTGGCAACACACCAGCCCTCATTTCCAGTTGAAAAGAAAAGAACTACCTGTGTTCAAGATAATAAAAATAGTTCCACACTTAGGAAGAAATTTGCTGTTATATGCATTGCGATGAGTAAAAGATAGACGAGATGAAGAGAACCAGCCTAGTACTTGGAAAAAAGAGAGGATAGAATTTACAGAGCTCACTTGAAGAGTAAATCATTATTTCATCATAGATAAGCATGTATCTTGTTCAAATATTTTTTTTTTTTTGATAAGTAAGATTTTAGCAAGTATCTTGTTCAATTATAAAACATTAGAAAGAAAGAAAAAGAAAAAAAGGAGCTAAGCGCTTATAGGAGATCTACCCTTGCTAATTTCTATTGATGCATGATTTACAACATATATCTTGATGTGTAACGTAATCAAAGCCTTTATTTTACCACCTCCACCATTTTACCTGGTAACTTGAGGGGCACCCGCATGCTAACAATCAAATTCTTGATTGAAGGACCTCTTTTAATTGGTAAAAATTCACAGTAAGATCTTACGATTGCAGATTACAAACTATTAGGGACCCAAGAACCATTTCCAAACATCATTTTCTTTCCTTGTCATTATATTTTTCTTGATGAGCAATAAAATAGGGTGTCACGGTGTTTTTTTATTTATTATTTATTTATTTATTTATTTTTTTGGTGTGTGTGTGTGTGTGGCGTGTTTCAAACCAAGGCTTTGTGGGCAAGAGGAGTCTAGTCTGCTTCTCGAGACGCCAAGAAAGAGAGAAACCAAACTATAATTAGAAACTGCCTATTGACATCTTTTCTGGGTTCGACTGGCTATAAAGCCAATCACTGGTACCAATATGGCAATAATCCTCTCTTCTGAAGTTTCATTTTTGAAGCAGAAATATTTCTCCACTAGACAGTAAAAACTATTTATCCGCTTACTCCTCTTCAATCCACAGCGTGAACATCAAATGTTAACCAAAATTGATTTTGGCAAGATGTCTCCTGAAATAAATCTCCAACTTTATGGCACCATGAATAGTTTTGAGAACCCATTCTGAAAACAAACCTTCTAGAAACTTTAAATCTTCTAGCCACCACATGATAAGCTGATCTAACTGGTAAGTAAACTTGCTAGTGTGTACTACCCAAACATATCCTTTTTATTTGTTTTTTTATTTAAATATGGTAAGAAAGCATATATATTTTGTTATTGAAATTAAAAGCACCAACATAAAGGCATTAAGATAATTGTGGAAGAAGGTCTTAGGTCTGCACCTTCAATCCCTTAATTTATGGTGCTAAGCACCACGTTTGTTGAATAGATGGATAATGTATTTTGTATATTTAGTTTAAATGATAGTTGAAAACCATTGACAGTAAATTGGTGGTGTATGTATGATAGCATTCTTTTACTTCTTTCTTTATACATTCGTTTATTTTCTTATGGAGTTCTGAAGAAAGGATATCTTTTGAGTGGGTGATATCTTTGTTTAATGGGAATAAGGAGAATGTTATTGAAACTTGATAGCTTGCAATTTTGCTTATTTTTTAAGACTCTTTTCTATCAATCCTCCAAGTCCAAGGTATCATCTGCTAGCATTTTTAGAAGTAATTTTCCTCCTCGTGCTTTATTTTTTGCTTCTTTGTTACAAGTCTCTCTACTATCATATCATTCTACTCGGTATCATCTGCCAGCACTTTTAGAAGTACTTTTCCTCATTGCGAAAGCAAACATTGCTTTGTTTTTTGCTTTTGGAAGCAAGAAAAGCACTTCCAGAGTGCTAATCGAATAATCACTTAGCAGCTAGGTCATTGGTAAATTGTGATCATATCATATAAGTTCTGTTGCGATTTGCAGTACAGTCCTTTTTGTTTTTGTTTTGTTTTTTTTTTTTTTTTTTATAAATTTAAATTTCATTCTATTAAATTTAATCGTATTTTTACTTTTTCTTCAATAAACAGTTCAACTACGACCTCAGTGCCTATGGATTTAGAGAATATTTCAAACGCCATGGCATACGGTCATCTGATTCCAAGTGAATGATGGTGAAGAATCAATTTGGTATTGTACTTTATTAAAATGAAAAAGCAGTTCGGGGTTGATTATAATATTAATTTTGAGATTCCTTACAAAATCTGGGTTTGAGCTCTGAAAATAGCTAGGCATCTAGTGCACTATAACAGGTTAAAAAGATTGCAAAAGCGCTGTTTTGCTATAAACAAATATTTTGGTACTCACACCCCTCGGAGCATTTATATGTTTCTCTTGGTCACCCTCACTATTTCTTACACGAAACATATGTAAACACTCACAGTAAGTGATCTATTATTTGGCATTGTAGGTTCTTTTTATTGTTTAGAGGCATATATATATATATATAAAAGATATTGAACAGTGGTTCCATTTCAAGTGTTTGTTGTAGTGTCTGATTTCTTAATATCTGGACGAGTGACATGAGGTTCAATTGATCTTTTTCTTTTCTGAGGTCAAATATCTACTTAAATTGACCCATTTTTGTTTTGTTTTGTTATTTATTATTTATTACAGTATTTATTTTTATCTTCCTCTTCCAACCCTTTGGTTTTTTTTTTTTTTTTTTTTTTTTTTCATAATTGGGTTTGTATAAAAGAACGAAAAAGTATTTACAGGCGCACAGAGAGCATTCCAAGACACGACTCTTATGGACCCCACCCTGAAGCACCAAACTGGGTAAGTCGGACGAAATATTATTTGATTCGGTACATGTTCATGAAACAGCAAATACCAAATGAAACATGAAACTATCCCCATCTCTCTGTGTGTATTTATTTTTATCTTCCTCTTCCAACCCTTTGTTTTACCTCATCAACTGAAACTATCCCCATCTCTCTGTGTGTAAAATCACTTGGAACCCGATTCCGTAATTTAACCTGAATTAAAACCTACAATCATGGAAACTCCACTTCAAGTTGTGCAAAATCAATTGAGACTCGATTCCATTACATCAATTTAAACAACCACCATGGAGAATGGAAACGACCTTTATACTCTGGTTGGTTGGAGTGATGAAAAATGGATGGATGGAAGGAAAATGAGAAGGGACGGATGAGGATGAGGCATCTTTAGGGAAGGAAATGTGTTTTTTTCATTTTTTATTTGGTCAGATGGAATGGATATTGGAAAGAATGGATGGGGTGATATTTTTTTTTGGTTGAAAATAAGGGAAAAGGGAGTTTTATATTCTTTATTTTATAAAATTAGACATTCATTCTAAATATTTGGGAAGGTTAAAAATGCATATTTGTGGTAATTATCACTCCTTTCTCTCTCATTTTCTTTTCAATTTTGGACGGATAGAAAAATACAAAACAATCCTCCCTCTTTTCCCTTTCCTTCGATCAAAAACGAAAAAGACTCATTTATCCTTCACATTCATCCCTCAATTCTTTCCTCCAACCAAATATAGCATTAAGGTATATATACGTTTGTGTGTATTTTGGCTTTTAGGCTCTATTTGTTTCTTAGGAAAATATTTTCTTTTTCAGGTAAAATATATATATTTTTATTTTTATTTTTCGATGTTTAGCAAAGGTCTAGGTCAAGGTTGATGTCGAGTCCATTAGGTGAGATGTGTAAAATAACTTGTCATAAATTGATGAATAAATTATTTTTGTTAAGTTTTAATATTTTTACAACATCTAAACACTAAAAAACGGAGAAATATTTTTTTGGCTCAAACAAATGGAACCTTAACGTGCAATGAAATTAGGTGCAGGGATGACAATGAGGTGCGTATGAAACGCCCTTTAAAAACGCCCTTAATGTGCAATGAAATTAGGTGTAGGGTTCAGAATTTGAGACAAATGTTAAATAAGGAGGGTGTAGATGAGATTGCGAGATGCACTTTCATGTTTCATTTGGTATTTGCTGTTTCATGAACATGTACCGAATCAAATAATATTTCGTACCCCTCTAGTGGACCAATACGAAGTAAATGTGACTAAGCTTATATTTAATGTGCGTGTAACTATACGCACCAATAAATTAATGCAAATATAAGCATTTTTTACTCCCAACACCCAAATAATAATTTAAAATTTATCTTACAAACTGTAACAAGCATTTTGATGAGATTACTCTTGCAAACTGTTAAAAAAAAAAAAAAAAAATCTCCTGCAAAAAGGGTCATTGATCGATCGGTATTCTTCTGTAAATTTGGAATTCAATTCTCTTAATTGCAAGAACAGTCATTGACGTTCTTATGTATAATAATGTTACTGTTTGATATATATGCACTACTTAATACGATGTTATATCGTTTTGGAGTTTTCATTTTGGTTAGATAAACAACTCACCCACACATTAATTTTTGACTCATTTAGAATTGGAACCCTAATGTTCGAAAACTTATTAAAGTTCCGGAATTATGCGATAATGTGATATTATTCATTTATAAGCTGCCATTCAATTAAATATGTCAATGTTTTTTAATTGCTGATTGATCGAAACACACATTGGGAATTTGGGACTAATTTTTGTTCAGCTTCCTCTTTGAAAAGAAAAATATATACCACCTAACTCAAACGACCCACTTAGTATGCAATAATGCACAATACAAGGTTGTTATTTGTGTGTACTTGCATATATGGCCCTAGCATGTACAACTCTACAACCTATATATATATAGAGGGAGAGAGAACTTGTACACACACACACACACACACACACACACGTGTATAGAATATTTATAACTTTCGTTGTCCATTTTTAATGCAGAAAACAGCACTAAAGACTGAAGTAGTGAAGTGGAACGCACACACCCACAAACTGGAAATCTCCATAAAAGAGGCAGTCACTTTGGCAGACATGAAGAATCTTGTATTGGAATCTGGATTCACTATACTTTCAGACCTCTGTTTGTTGTGACAAAATTAAGTAAATTAGTATATCATAGGATATATATCATAGTTCAATGTTCATAGTTTTACCCATATAAAATATTTGGGGATTGATGAAAATTTTCAGAACATTTTAAAATCTGGTTAGAAAAGAAAATTGAAAATTTTGAGAAAAAATCACTTTTCATAAATACCTATTCAAATTATAAAATGGTAATATATATATATATATATATATATATTAAAATTTTCATGCTAACCAAATTTACATGAACCCTTAATTTTCTTTTACTTTATAGACGTATAATCTCATTTTTGCCCTTTTGAATTGTTGAAAACATTTCCAAATTATTAATCTCACTCTCACAGTAAGCACTCAAGCTCTTTCCATTTTCAACCTCTTTCAATTTTTCACCAATTTGTTTTCAACCCCATTTACAGATTCAGGCAACATCAACATAAGAAATAGATATATCATACCCGTCCAAAACTCCATTTGCGTCACATTTGGGATAAAGATTGGGTTGGTCTATATATATATACATATATAGATAAACAGCTCATCCATACATTAATTTTTGGCTCATTTAAAATTCAAACTCTATTGTTCGAGAAATTATTAGAGTTCAGAGATTATGTGGTAATGTGATATTGTTCATTTACAAGCTGTCATTCAATTAAATATGTCAATTTTATTCAATTTTTTAATTGCGTTACAACTTGTGATAATGTGATCGATTGAAACACGTATTCTGCCTATTTTTTGATCAGCTCCTCTTTGAAAAAAAAATATATATACCACCTAACTGAAACGACCCCAGTTCGTGTGCAATAATGCACAATAAAAGGTTGTTATTTGTGTGTAGTTGCATATATGGCCTAGCATGTAGAACTCTCTCTCTCTCCATATATAGAACTTATATATACATGTATAAAATATGAATTGACATCTTTGTTTGATATATAAACTTTCATTTTCCCGAACAGTTAAAACTTTCGTTGTCCATTTTTAATGCAGACAACAGCACTGAAGTAGTGAAGTGAGAGGCACACCCACAAACAATGGAAATCTCCATAAAAAAGGCAGTCACTTTGGCAGACATGAAGGATCTTGTATTGGAATCTGGATTCACGTACTAATACTTTCAGACCTCTATTTATTTGTGACAAAATTAAGTAAATTATAACATAGGGAAACTATGAAAATTGAACTATGATATATATATATATATATAGATATATATATATCATAGTTCAATGTTCATAGTTTTACCCATATAGAATATTTGGAGAGAGATGAAAATTTTCAGAATATTTTAGAAGTTTGGTTAGAAAAGAAAAGTGAAAATTTTGAGAAAAAATCACTTTCCACACTTACCTATTTAAATTATAAAATGATAATTTATATATATATATATATATTTGTAAAATTTTCATGCTAACTAAATTTACAAGAAATCTTAATGTTTCTTTACTTTACTTCACTTTTTTTATTTTAACTTTTAACCACTACGTGATATAAAGTAGATGTATAGTCTCAGTTTTGCCCTTTTGAATTGTTACAAACATATCCAAATTATTAATCTCACTCTCACAATAAGCACTCAAGCTCTTTCCATTTTCAACCTCTTTCAATCTCTCACCAATTTGTTTTCAACCCCATTTACAGATTCAGGCAACATCAACATAAGAAATACCAATGTGCTCAGCTTGCTGGCGGATTTTCACAGCTTGCAATGACTCAAGTTTGGAAATCGCTTTGACTGGGTATGGTGAAAGGTCAAGTGGATATTGGTGGTTTAGTGCAAAACTTGACTCGAGGAGAAGGGGATGTATTTGGAGCTTCTGAGAGCATCACTCGTGCTGTAATATCTTGGCTTCATCTTGCTCTGTTTTCAATTATATGTTGTCGTGTAAATTTTGTTGGCCAGGCTAATATCAAAGCCTTAGAGATTGACCTCATGTATGTTATGTTTGTTGAATATTTGTATGTTAATATTCTTACAGTAGTGAAAGAAGACTCAGGTAATTTTGTTATATAATGGTATTTTGGTTGTGAGGGAAAAATTGTTAATAAAAATAAATTAATGTATCATATACTATAGTATAATTTATTTAAATATTATTTGTAAATATAATATTTATTATAATAATCTATATATATATATATTTATATAGTTTAATATCAAGAAAATAAAACTATAAAAGAACCTGATAAAGTCGAGGCTAGAATTTAATTCTATATCCTTAAGACAGATACGCCCCGCTACGGTGCTAACGGACTCTTCGGCGTCTATCTCCCAGGATACAACGACTTTTCTTCCTTTGGTAGTAGCACTTCAAACCAATGGAATAGGCGAACCGGCTCGGTGTAGTACTCTCTGATGAACTCAGACTCGGAGACCAGGATTGAACCCTAACTCGGAAACCAAGGTTCGAACCCAATCCAAACCAGTTTAGGTTGAACCCAAACCGAACAAGAAGAATTAGAAGAAGAAATTCAGAAGAAGAGAAGAAGATTTCTGAATTTGG